AGACACAGACTGCTGCTCTAGGGCGATGCAGCGGAGCTTGGCTGCCGCGTGGCTGAAGGGCGCCGCACGGCAACTTCAAAGGTAGAAGTAGAAGCCTGGTAGGGACCCCTTCGGAAGCATGGAGGGCCTCAACAACGGTGACACCGCCTGGATGGCCATGTCCTGTGCATTGGTTCTGTTCATGACGCCAGGGTTAGCATTCTTTTATGGCGGCCTGGTGCGAGACAGTAATATCGTCAACACGATGATGATGAGCATCATCTCCATGGGACTGACCACCATCACTTGGCTGGTGTTCGGATTTACCTGGTCCTTTGACGAGTGGGGTGCAGGCAAGGGCTTTACCTATGTGGGCTTCCGCAACCTCGACGCGGTGTGGTCCGGAACCACCATGCCAGGAATGACCTTTGCAGTGTTTCAGATGACCCTTGGCCTCAATCCAGAATCCCACTTTTCAAGAAGCATGGTGTGGCTGCGTTTGCTCTGTAGATGTGATAATGTTGTTCTTTAAACAGTAAAGTAGACGTAAGGACCTTCGCCATCATAGCGGCGGCTATCATCTCCGGCGCCGTGGTCGAGCGCATCCGCTTCTCGGCTTACGCTATCTTCATCGTGGCCTGGGTCCTTGCAGTGTACGTGCCCCTCTGCCACTGGATCTGGGGCGGCGGCTGGATTGCCGAGATGGGCGCCAAGGAGTGGGAGTCTGCTGAATATGATAATTAGCAAAGGCCATCATGTACCCGGTAGCTGCCCCTTGCTCTTGACATTTTGTTGTCTCCCGTTCTGAGGACTTTGCCGGTGGAACTGTCGTTCACATCAGCTCGGGCACCTCAGCGATTGCTCTGGCATCACTGCTGGGGGAGCGCAAGCACCGTTCCGAGTCCTTCCCCAGCAACTTGCCTTTCGTCATCTTGGGCGGAGGTATCCTTTGGCTGGGATGGACGGGCTTCAACGGTGGTTCCGCCTTCGCCGCTAACGGCGACTGTGCCCTGGCCATCGCCACCACGTATGTTGCGGCGGCCGCCGCCATGATCACGTGGGTCTCCGTCGAGCGCATCCTCGATGGAGCTCCCACATCTGTCGGCGCCATGTCAGGCGCGGTGGCTGGACTCGCTACCTGCCTGTCCATGGCCTCACTAGTTTTCTAGAAGACTCCATGCCGACACAACGCGACACACTTGATTTACTGCAATTTGTTTGGGATTTGCCATGTAGTAGAAGTCCATCATTTTTGCTTCGGCTAAGGTGAACATCACCCCGTGCGCCGGCTTCGTGGAGCCCCTGGGTGCTCTTGGCGTTGGCGCCATTGGAGCCATCTGCTGCGTCTTCGCAGCTCGTGGGTTGAAGAAGCTGAACCTGGTGGACGACTCACTGGACTGCTTCTCTCTCCATGGCGTGGGAGGCTTCGCAGGTGCCATTCTTGGCGGCTTCTTCGACACAGGTGATGGCCTCATCTACGGGGGCGACGGGCTGCTGCTGGCGAAGAACCTGGCCGGCGCAGCCTTCGGTGTAGTCTATTCAGCAGCCGTGACCGCGGTGATCTTCTTCTTGATGCGCCTCGTCATGCGCATGAGGGTCAGCGAGGAGCAAGAGCTGGAAGGCACCGGGGCTCACATGACTCGCGCGAAGAAGCACACAAAGACACGCGCAGCTTAAACTCAAGCCCCTAAACCTATCTAACGCGGCGCTGGAAGGTGTCGATCTCCATTGCCACTCCGAGGCCTGCTGATAGGGTTCGAACATGCTGAAGCATCTCCAGAAATACCTCGGGTTTGTTTTTTGAGTGTGCCGCAAGTTGAGGTCGCCTACGGCAAGAACGAGAACTCCGGCAAGCCGAACGCCTTCGGCGAGCACTCCCAGCGCTTCAAGCCCGAGGAGGCCCCAACGCTGCTTACCGGATCTGGACCCGCCGGCTCCGCGGCGGAGAAGCCTACCGAGGTCTGAGACCTCGGTTGCCAAATTGGCCGAAAGGCCGTGTTTTTCGCAGTATGGAGTATCGCATCGTATAGCGGGTCTCTCGAACAGGACATCCTTGGTCTTGAGGTCCGTGTTTAGTTATACGTGCTGCACAGGACAGCACCTCACGCAGCGAAGACTGCAGCGGCTCGGCAACTTACACGTAGCCAGGCAGCCTGCATGCGGTGTCGAAATCAGCAATGTAGGAACCATTAGGAACCTGATTAGGGAACCTTGTGTCTCTTAGGGTTCGTTAAACGGATCGTAATATTTCGAGGTTATAGGACCAAGTTACCAGGGTTTCTTAATCAGGTTCATACATGAAAACCAGTTCCACTGTTGTTGCACGCAACGCACACTTACACAATCGCACACAACCGCGCACAATCGCACACAATTTGCAAGGATAACGATGACCCTGACAAAGACGATGAGTGTTGCTCTCTGTGCTTCCGTTATTCTGGGTCCGGTTTCTGTTCCGTTGTTGTTGCGGAGGGTCCGGACGGGGTGTATACAAGATGTTTAGATTATAGTCCGTTGAAAGCTGGGCCCACAACGAGAAAGCTGGAGACACAGACAAATGTAGCACATGCAGTCTATGACAGTGCACTGCTCTAGGGCGATGCAGCGGAGCTTGGCTGCCGCGTGGCTGAAGGGCGCCGCACGGCAACTTCCAAGGTAGAAGTAGACGTCTGGTAGGGACCCCTTTGGAAGCATGGAGGGCCTCAACAACGGTGACACCGCCTGGATGGCCATGTCCTGTGCATTGGTTCTGTTCATGACGCCAGGGTTAGCATTCTTTTATGGTGGCCTGGTGCGAGACAGTAATATCGTCAACACGATGATGATGAGCATCATCTCCATGGGACTGACCACCATCACTTGGCTGGTGTTCGGATTTACCTGGTCCTTTGACGAGTGGGGTGCAGGCAAGGGCTTTACCTATGTGGGCTTCCGCAACCTCGACGCGGTGTGGTCCGGAACCACGATGCCAGGAATGACCTTTGCAGTGTTTCAGATGACCCTTGACCTCAATCCAGAATCCCACTTTTCAAGAAGCATGGTGTGGCTGCATGTGCTCTGTAGATGTGATAATGTTTTTCGTTATGGCAGCTAGCTATCCAATTCGAAGTAAGCGTATACGTAAGGAGCTTCGTCGTTAAACTCCATAACGTAAGGACCTTCGCCATCATAGCGGCGGCTATCATCTCTGGGGCCGTGGTCGAGCGCATCCGCTTCTCGGCTTACGCTATCTTCATCGTGGCCTGGGTCCTTGCAGTGTACGTGCCCCTCTGCCACTGGATCTGGGGCGGCGGCTGGATTGCCGAGATGGGTGCCAAGGACTGGGAGTCTACCGCATCATATGCTTGAGTTTTCGTTGTTGTCCCCCGTTGTGAGGACTTCGCCGGTGGAACTGTCGTTCACATCAGCTCGGGCACCTCGGCGATTGCTCTGGCATCACTGCTAGGGGAGCGCAAGCACCGTTCCGAGTCCTTCCCCAGCAACTTGCCTTTCGTCATCTTGGGCGGGGGTATCCTTTGGCTGGGATGGACCGGCTTCAACGGTGGTTCCGCCTTCGCCGCTAACGGCGACTGTGCCCTGGCCATCGCCACCACGTATGTTGCGGCCGCCGCCGCCATGATCACGTGGGTCTCCGTCGAGCGCATCCTCGATGGAGCTCCCACATCCGTCGGCGCCATGTCAGGCGCGGTGGCTGGACTCGCTGCTTGTCTGTCCATGGCCTCACTCAGTTTCTATAAGTCTCCATGCTGACACAACGCGACACACTGGATGGCTCACCATGTAGTAGAGTAGAGTCCATCAATTCTTTGTGCGTCTTCTGCTAAGGTGAACATCACCCCGTGCGCCGGCTTCGTGGAGCCCCTGGGCGCTCTTGGCGTTGGCGCCATTGGAGCCATCTGCTGCGTCTTCGCAGCTCGTGGGTTGAAGAAGCTGAACCTGGTGGACGACTCACTGGACTGCTTCTCTCTCCATGGCGTGGGAGGCTTCGCAGGTGCCATTCTTGGCGGCTTCTTCGACACAGGCGATGGCCTCATCTACGGGGGCGACGGGCTGCTGCTGGCGAAGAACCTGGCCGGCGCAGCCTTCGGTGTAGTCTATTCAGCAGCCGTGACCGCGGTGATCTTCTTCCTGATGCGCCTCGTCATGCGCATGAGGGTCAGCGAGGAGCAAGAGCTGGAAGGCACCGGGGCTCACATGACTCGCGCGAAGAAGCACACAAAGACACGCGCAGCCTTTTGAATACATGATGTCCCTAAACCCTAAACTCCTCCACCCTCAGACCTAAGCCCTAAAAGTGCCCTCACATTACGTTGACAGAATTTAACCCGGGGCTGGAAGGTGTGGATCTCCATTGCCACTCCGAGGCCTGCCGATAGGTTCAAGGATTTCAAGGATGCTGAAGCATCTTCAGAAATTTCAGGGTCTAGACTTTAGGGTTTTAGGGTTTGGAATGTCTGAGGACATGCTGGACTGGAAAGTGCCATTACGCGACCGTCTTTTGTTTGTTTTCGAGTGTGCGACAAGTTGAGGTCGCCTACGGCAAGAACGAGAACTCCGGCAAGCCGAACGCCTTCGGCGAGCACTCCCAGCGCTTCAAGCCCGAGGAGGCCCCAACGCTGCTTACCGGATCGGGACCCGCCGGCTCCGCGGCAGAGAAGCCTACCGAGGTCTGAGACCTCGGTTGCCAAATTGGCCGAAAGGCCGTGTTTTTCGCGGTATGGAGTATCGCATCGTATAGCGGGTCTCTCGAACAGGACATCCTTGGTCTTGAGGTCCGTGTTTAGTTATACGTGCTGCACAGGACAGCACCTCACGCAGCGAAGACTGCAGCCGCTCGGCAAGTTACACGTGGCCACCGAGCCTGAACGAGCTCCGCATGCAGTGTCGAAATCAGTAGTTATAGTTACAACCGCTTCCAAAGGTGTTGCACGTAACACACATGCACACAACCGCCCACATATTCGCACTGACACACATGTAAACAAGACTAGATTCAAGACTAGATAACTGCTTTCGAAAAGGTTCTGCCGGAGAAGCGCATGAAGGAGATTGCATCTTCCTACGACGTCGTTGATGGTCCCAATGACGAGGCAAGCCAGACCCACCAAAGCGATCGTGATAGCACTTTTTCGAGCTGATGCTGTCATCCCTCCATCCATGCATCCATCCATCAATCAATCCATCCATCCATACATACACCCTAAACCCTAAACCCCTTACATACATACTTACGTACATCCGTGCGTGCATGCATATTGTCCATGCAAGCATGCCCCCACCCAACACTACCTGCCTACAATATGGGGTTAAGGGTTTAGGAACTCTACAAGTAGGGGTATGGAATAGTTTGGAATTGTACCACAAGCACCGACACAGTCAGTGAATAGATAGATATACACAAAAAGGCCCTTGATAGGGTCTATGCCAACGCTTGAGTTCGGCATTCTACTCAAGACACCTGCCTAGTTGCTCGCGGATGCTGGCAGCCGGATAAGACGTCAACCCTTAATGCAAATAACGGGAACCCCGAAGTGTCCTTGGTGCAGGGAGAGATGTTCACTCGCCCGGGCATTCTGGTTGATGCCTTCCCTTCGTGGGCTCCTGAGATCAGGCTTCCTCAGCCCTGGTAATTTAAGGTTGATCAAGACCTTCTGATGCAGATGACGCAGGTGAGGTTGAGAGTATAGAGTGTTCAGGGTTGTATGGATCAAAATATTGATCAACAGATGTATGTGTGGACCTGTTAACTGGTCTAGAGGCAGCCTTCAAACACCCTGGCTGAAACAGCGAGAACAAGGTGTTTGATGGGTTGGGCACTTACTATAGGGCCTAAATATTTACCGATACTATTCTGTGGGTTCCTTGTTTTCACTATAGTATAATGGGTCCCAAAACCCTATTCGGATTATTAAGGCCCCTATACTAGGTCCCGGAGGAATTCCAAGGGTCTTTTCAGAACTTCATGAGGGTACTGGAGGTTGGAAGCCTCAAAACGAAGCCAAACTCCCACCCGAAACCTAAGAGCCAAAATCCCGAAAACCACCCTAAACCTTATAAATCCTATTCCCGAAAACCGAATCCTAAATCCTACACCCCAGGCCTCAGCTCCCAAACCTTCTCGATTCCGAGGCCCTACCCCAACGAGGAGGCGGCGCGCTACGCGAACGGAGGTGCCAACCCACCGGACCTGTCGGTCGGGTACCTCGGTCCGGGTGTGGGCATGTATCGGGGGTCAGGGTCGATGAGTTTCGGGTTTACTTAGGGGTACTTAGAAATAATTTTTAGTTTTTGGTTATTATAATCCCTAAGAAACAGCTAAGATTGTAATTTTTGCTAGGGTTCTAAGTTCAGTACAGGGTCAGGGTCGAGGAGTTTCGGGTTTAGGCTCGAAGGGTGTCGGGCTTCGAGTTGAGGAGTTTGGGGTTTAGGGTTTCGGGTATAACTTAGAAGCTGCCCCCACCCTGTAATAGTGGTATAATAGGATTATAATAGGGCTCTAGTATCATCCCTATATATCCTTATAGTCACGATTACAGGGTGGGGGCAGCTTCTAAGGTATAGCAGTACAGCATGAAGTTTGGGGGTTCCAGGTATCGGGTGCATTCTCTACTTAAAGGACCATGGGACTTAGTAAGTAGGGTTATAAGTAGCTTATAATTAGGATAACCCCACTTAGGGGACTTATAACCCCAGTTATAACCTACTTACTAAGTCCCATGATCCTCTAAGTAAGGGCATCTGGATCTCACAGCGCAAAGAACGGCTGAGCTGGCAAGGCATTGGTTGAGTCGGAGGCCCCCCAAAAGGTGGGATAAAGGTAGGCAGGATGAAGGATCCCTTACATAAGGACGCTTATCATGGGAATATCCCAGCTAATGTAGGAACCTGATTAAGAAATCCTTGGCCTGAAACCCCCAAAATAGTGGGATTCATGAAAGGCCCAAGGTTTCTTAATCAGGTCCCTGCATCCTCCCTAAACCCTAAACCCCAAACCTCTTTTTTAGACCTTAACTTCTAGGTGGAAAAAGGCACTCAACAAAGGCATTCAACAAAAACACACACCTCTTCTTTGGGAATATCCCACCTACCTTTCTGGAGCCAATTGATTGAGGGGCTTCGTCCTCGATCCCAACGGGCTCAAGCCAGAAGCCCCCAAACCGCAAAGCTCCTAAAGCTCTGCCCCTTAAGGGATCCCTTAAAGGAAGAACCCTTAAGGGGTCGGTTTAGAGTTTAGGGTTTGGGGATCCCTTAAAGGAAGAACCGTTAAGGGGTCGGTTTAGAGTTTAGAGTTTAGGGTTTAGGGAACCTTAAAGGAAGAACCCTTAAGGGGTCCATCTAGGACGCCTTGTGAGAACCTTGATGGGGAATGCTATGGGCGCCTCTATTCAAGGGCTTCGGCCAGCTCTTTCAGGGACCTGTGCAGGAAGCCTTTCACAGAACCCTACAACTTATAGGGGGAACTAGAAATGATTCTTAATCTTTGGATATTGTAATAATTCCCCAAGAAACGGCTAAAATTAAAATTTTTGCTAGGAGTCTAAGTTCAGTGTAGACAAGGGACGCTTAGAACGCTAGACAACTCGACCCTGCTACTCTAACGAGCTCAGGTCTACACCACGGCGAAGCACGAGGGCTTGGACTACATCTTCGCATTGTTGCGGCGGCCCTGGGGCCCCACAACCCTAAATCCTCAGCCCTACTCCCTCAACCCTAAGCCCTACAGTAAACTCCATAAAGTTGGCAACCGGATTAAGGCCAAATATTGCTGGGATTCCCTTTACATTACTCTTGAGGACTGAGGCTATTGGATTTCCAACTTTTGGGCTTCTACTGTAAACTGTTAGGTTTCAGGAGGGGCTCTTCCGGATGTAGGGTGCAGGGCTTGGGGACGAAGGCTTCGCGCTGAAGGTTTGGGCATTATACCTAAAGGGTAAAAGGAGGGACCTTTAATAAGGACCCCTAGGTATATACCTTTAAAATATAGCTATTATATACCCATTTTATAGCCCATTATAGGGCAGGGGTCCCCATTAAGGGTCCCTCCTTTCCCCTTTGATTATACCTTAATGATGCGGAGCCCTCAGGAGCAATAACGCCAACTACATGGGTGGTTGTCAAAATTATGGTCCCATTTTGGGTACCATAAATGTTAGGTGCCGTATTATAATAGGTACACCAAAAAGGGACGATAATTTTGACAACCACCCACATGACTCGGTGGAGGCTTTTGAGGTTTCAACGCATCATCTCCCCCGCCCCTAAACCCTAAACCTTAAACCCTAAACCCTAAACCGCCATGACGGCACAGAAAACCCGGTGCACACGACCCCCGGGAAACCCTAAACTCGTGCCCTTGAAGGAAGCCTCCAGAGCACTTTGGAGGTCTCCTTCAAAGGAAGCCAAGACATGAGAATCCCGTAGGAGACTTATAGAACCATTCAAACAGTGCCTATAAGAAGCCCTTTAGAGGACTCCTCTGAAGGAGCCCAAGACAAGAGCCCTAAGCCTTAAATAAACTCCAGACCCCTAGACCCTTAACTCTTAACCCTTAAAGCCCTAAACTCTTAAAGCCCTCAACCCTACATAAACCCAAAGACATGAGGCTTGGATACCGTGATCCTCCAGCCGGCATCGAGGTCCGTGACGGGTCTTGGTCTCGGCCGGCATTGCTTCTGCCTGTAGGGGTTAGTGTTCAGGGTTCAGACTGTAGGGTTTCAGGCTTTAGGGTTTAGGGTTTAGGGCTTAGGGTTTAGGGATTTAGGGTTTAGGGTTTAGAGTTTACGGTTTCAGGGTTTAGGGCTAAATGTTCAGGATTTAGAGTTTAAGGCTTCAGGGTTTAGGGTTTCAGGGTCAGCGTTTAGGGTTTCAGGGCTAGTGGGGACGGAGCCCGGAGTGCTTCCCTGGATCGTTGTCTTGCTGTGGCTCTTCTCCGTGATGGCAGTGGCGACAACAAAGAACGAGAGTAAGTTCATTAAGTTAGATTCCTGAAGCCCTATGAAGGGAGCTTGTTGCAACAAAATTATCTATGTATGATTTATAGCCACAAAGTGCAAGCCCCAAGCCCCCGACCCTTAAACCCCAAGCCCAAGACCCCCCGGACTTCAAACCCCTACACCCTTCACCGAAAATCCCAAGCCCCAAGCTCCAAGCTCAAACACGAAACCCGAAACCCTGAGGTAGAAGCCCGATATCCGCAGCATCAGTATCCTCCTGCCCTTCAGGTAAAGACCCAAGGGGTGCCGGTACTAGCAACCCTTACTCCATGCTCCACCTTTCTTGGCTTCGCCCCTTAACCCGAACCCCGACAGCTATGTAACCCGAGGTTGTACTACAACGTGTACTTTCCTGGAGGCGGGATGAAAAAGACAACAGCGCCCGAGACCCAATGCCCTCCAAGGCCTATGGAGGTTTAGGGTTTAAGTTTTTTTTAAAGTTCAACGCCCGAAGCCGCAAGACCCAAAACCTTCCAGCCTCAAAACCATAAACCCCTAAGCAAATAATTGCCCTGATACCTGTACGGCCCTCGCAACTACAATAGCTCTCCACGAAGAGCAGGCAAAGATTATGAAGCCCGACGCCCTGTACGAAAGAGCTCCCCCAGCCCTCAAACCTCAAACCCCAATCCCAAACCATATACGCCCCACAAGCCTTGCAAACCTCTTAGTATAATCCAAGTCCGAAAGATCTTGTTGGTGGAGCACCTTCTCTGATGGCGGAGCCCGAGCTAGGATGCAGGGTTTCAGGTCGAGGGTTTAGGTTGTTAAATAAGGTTCGAGGTATTGAGACGTCGGGGTTTAAGGTCTTCGAGTTTAAGGTTTGGGATTTTAAGGTTTCAACTTCTAGGGTGCACGGTTTGTGGACATACAATGTTGGAAGGTCATATCCCAAAGTGAGGTTCTGAGTTTAGTTTTGTTGGGGTTCGGGCTATTTCCGTGGATTTAGGGTTCTAGTTTTCGCGAGCATTGACACACGCCTATACAACCCAATAAATTCCTAAGGACCCTTAAAAGCCACCTGAACCCTAAGCCCTAAGCCCTAAACCACTAAACCTTCTAAACCCTAAACCCTAAACCCTTAAAGCCTAAAAAACACGGAAGGCTTGATCGGCATGCCCAGCCCTCTGCATTCGGATGGCCTTGTGGATTACGAGGCGGCCGTGTGAGAGGTCTTGGAGGTTTAGGGTTTAGGGTTCTGTAAGGGGATTGTTAAGCGTCCTTTCCAGGGATACTTTTTGCCATGTGAAAAGGGGTTGAAGTTGATGTTTATGATACATTTTCGAGTCCCTTTATTTTGGCGTCTTTTTATTTGCGGTTTAGGGTTTGATTGCGGCGGTGTGGTGCTACGTCTTCGAGACTTCTCACCGGGGTCGCGGAGGGTGTTCCGTCCCGGCCAGGAGCCAAAACCCTCAGAGCCCAAAACTGGAAGCCCTAGACCCTAAAACCTTGGTTTAGGGTTTAGGCTTCCCAAAAACCCAAAAAATCTTGAGACCCCGAAGGAGAAGCCGGGCAGTTCTGCCACCTGCAGACTTGCTAGGATGGAACGCCCTGCACGAAGTCACAGATGGCCAAGGACGTGGTGAACTTCCTTTGCCGGGCTCTCGTACAACAAGTGAGGGTTGAAGGTTTAGGGTTTAGGGTTTAAGGTTTAGGGAGGGCTCAGAGTAGGAACAGCCGTGGTACCGCCACTTCTCAAGATCATCATCATCGTCGTCATCATCATCATCATCATCATCACAAGGCGCAGTGCCTTAGTCATGGACACATGCTGTTAGCATCCTAGTTCAAGCTCATCTTACACGCGCCATCTGGGAAGGAGCCACTTACAGGAAGAAACCCCAAGCCGTGGATCGGAACACCCAAAACATCCCTGCCGCATGTGGCCCTTAAGAATTCTACGAAACCGTTATGCAACAATTATAGAGCCCTAGATAAAGCTGTTCAGGACCGCAAAAGCCAGGGAAAACAACACTCAACAAAACCCCGCGGAACGCGTATGAAGCTTACATTCTACCTATAGTCTCCATTGTAGTTCCTTTTAGTTGGTTTAACCAATTATATATTAAGGATCCTAAAAGGTAACCCCAAAAAGGAACTACAATGGAGACTATAGGTAGACCCTAAATCCTCAACCCGTGACCAAAGGCGCAGGATCCGTAAGAAACCAGAGAGAGCCCACCAGTAGCCCTGAACCCTAAAGTCGAAGGCACGAACCCTCAACTCTGAACCCTGAACCCTTAAGAGACTCTGAACCCTACGCCCTAAACCCTCAAGAGACCAGAGCTTTAAGCCTAAACCCTTAAGAGGCCGGAGCTTTAACCCTAAACCCTAAAGAGGCCAGAGCTTTTACTGTAAACCCTTAAGAGACCAGAGCCTAAACCCTACACTAAACCCTAAACCCATAGGAGACCAGAGCCTAAATCCTCAGCCCTAAAGACCCAGACCTTCCAAAATCCCTTAATTAAGGAATATACCTTAAATTATAATAGGATCCCAAATATGAATTAAGGTACATTCCTTAATTAAGGGATTTTGGAAGGTCTGGGGAGTGCCCTGAGGCTGGGCCGCCGAGCCAGCCCACGACGAGCGTAAGTTGATCGGCTTGAAGGCGAGAGCTCTCCGAGAGCAGAAGAGGGCTTGGTTTGGGGGTTTAGGGGTTTAGGGTTTTAGGGTTTAGGGTTTCAGGGTTTTAGGGGTTTAGGGCTCTTTGAGGCCGGCAGAGGGCTTAGTTTGGGGTTTCGGGCTTCTAGGGTTTAGGGTTTAGGGCTTCAGGGTATATAATTTAGGGACTGTCTTATACTAGAGCCCAGAAAGCTGGAACATGGATTTAGGCTTTAGGGTTTAGGGTGCACGCCGGAATAGTTACCCACATAAATCCCTAGGTATGTTGATTAGAATACGCCCCCCAAACCCCTTCTCTGATTATTGAGGCCTTTGTTTGAGCGTTAGAGCGTTAGAGCGTTAGAGGGTTTAGGGTTTTAGGGTTTAGGGTTTTAGGTTCAGGGTTTAGGGTATGGGGTTTAGGTTATGAGGGATTGAGGGCTTTGCGTCTTGAAGTGTTCAGGGTTTCACGAGGGGTTTTCTTAGGGTTCGAGGGGGGTGTGGGTGGCGGGTGGGGAGGTGTTAGACATCCCTTCCAGGGTTTGAAGCAGCTTCATCTTATTGAGGGCTTCAAGGGTTTTGCTCAGGGTTTAGGGCCTGTTTAGGGTTTAGTTTTTGGGTTTATCGTTTTCCTGAGGGCTTCAAGGGTTTTGCTGGGTTGATGAGGGTTTTCATGCGGTTAACAGGGCTGCACAGGCTTGAAGAGGCTGTACAGCAAAAAGGCCATTAGGGTTTCGTGGGCTTTTGGTGGGATTAGAGCATTTTGGATTTATGGTTTGGGTCGCGGGGGTTTGCTGATTAGGGTTTGGTGTTTGGGCTGACTAGGGCAGCAGGCTTCAGGCTAAACCCTGAACCCTAAACCCTAAATCCGAAACCCTAAACCCTACGCCCTAAACCCTACACCCTAAACCTTAAACCCTGAACCCATAAACCCTAAACCCTAAATCCCAACACCCACTAGGGGCCACCTTCCCTCCGTGAGGCGATGTCGGCTTGCTTCGTCGGTACCTTCATCGTGGGCTTCTGGTACAGAAGCATGTGGATCGGGCCCGCCCCGGTCTGGACTAAGGTCTTGGGGATTCTTGGGGTGATTTGGGCTGTAGAAGTTGCAACAGCGCTAGACAAAGCTCTCGAAAGCCTAGACCGGTCTTGCGGTGTAGAATTTGAGGCATCGCAGCTGCTCTGGTCCCCTCCCACTTGGGGGTCTCAGGTATTGGGGGGTTTAATGTAATTAGGGGGTTAAATAATTGGAATGGGTTTTGAAATTTTGAGGGTTCCTTGTTCTCATTATAGTATAATATATCCCCAAAACCGTATTCTAACTATTACAGGCCCTATACTAAACCCTTATAGTAGCCCTTCCCTTTAAAGGAACCCTTTAGGGCTTAGGGTTTAGGGGTTTTGGGCCTTGGAGTTTAGGGTCCAACGGCTCGGATCGGTCGTCGCAAACCCTAAGACGCAGTCGTCCTAAACCCTAAAGCCTGATTTAGGGTCTAGGGTTTGGGGTAGATACAAAAACCTGAACCCTCAACCAGGTTCAAGACCCGCCGCATCGATTTCACGAAGGCCGTCATGTGAGCTGCCCTTTCTGCCGGGAGAGTCTCTGCCCCGAGTTTTTAGCCCGACCTGGCGGTTCCTGCTTGTCCATGAGCATAGGGAGCCTGGCTTCTAATTTACTCCCACAGGGTTTAGGGTTTAGAGTTTAGGGTTTAGGGTTCTAAACCCTGGACCCCAGGCTAAGTTCGACCAGCGCAGTTCTAGCAGGCTTCATGTGGTTTCTTCTGCAGACTCGTTTCACCGTCTGCAAAGTACGCAGATCTTCTCATTCCCCAAATCCCAACCCACCTTGCTTAGGACCCTTCCTCTAGGGGCCTATTTTTTTTGGGGGGTCCTTACTGTATAAGTATAGTACAATGGGCCCCAAACCTTGCTTCGGACCCTTACAGAACCCATAAAGGAAGCCTTAAATGGGGCACGGAGCCTCCAAAATGCCTGCAACGCCTGTAGCCACGCGGGCAAAAGCCGCCGCTCCAGGTTCTTGGCTTGGGGTTCGGCTTGGTTATACATTCCTTAATATTGGGTAATAAGTTATGGTTGTCCTACTTGTAACCCTATACTTATAACTACCCATGAACCTCCAAGTAGACTACAGTAAACCCCATAAGGTTGGGGACCGGATTAAGGCCAAAGAGTGCTGGGATTCCCTGTGCATTACTCTTAAGGATTGAGGCGATTGGGCTTCCAACGTTTGGGCTAATGTTGCAGGGCTTCTACAAGGGTTAGAGAGGAAGGACTCCGATGCACCGGAATCAAGGCATTTCTCAACTTACGGTGGGAATGCTTCTCCGGGCCGTACACTGTTCACTGCGACCGCTCTGTCTGCAGGGAAGCGGTCAATCGGTGCAGCAGTCGATTGTCGAACATTGGCAGCCGATAAAGGCCCAAGCATGACTAAACTTAGACCCTGCCACGCCCAAAATCTAATGTAGGGGCCCAAACACTTACCAATACTATTTTGGGGGTTCCTTAGCATAATATTCGTGGGCCCCAAAGCGCTCTTCTAATTATGAAGGCCCCTAAAATTGTGGTACCCTCATAGATCCCTTATCGTAACCCTTATAGACCCCTTTAAAGGAACCCCTACTCTCATTTATTGTAACCCTTATAGACCCCTTCAAAGGAACCCCTACTCTAATTATGAAGGCCCCTGTCGCAATTTCCTCAACCCTGGAGCCTCAACCCTTGACCTGAGACCCTCAACTCAAGCAAAATCAACCCACCTCAACCCCTCAACCTTGCGGTTCAGGGTTTAGGGTTTACCCTAAACCCTAAACCATCAACCCCTCAACCTTAAGGGTTTAGGGTTTAGGGTTTCCCCTAAATCCTAAACCCTGAATTTAAACCCTAAACCCCTCCACCCTAAACTCCTCAAGCCTGAATCCCAAACGCCTCAGCCCACGCACACCCCGAACCCTCAACTTGGAACCTTCGCCTGTGACAACCCTGCACTTTCTTGAACTCTCAGCCCCGCTAATCCTGAAATCAGCCTAAACCAGCCGAAACCACCCGGAAACCCTGAATTCTGAATCTTTCATCAAACACCCGAAACCCTAAACCCCCAAACCTTCTCGCTGCCTATGCCGCGGGAGGGATGTCAGCTTCTTGTCTGATGTGTCTGCGATAAACCCCCAAACTCCTAAACCCCTGAACCCTCAACTGGAGACCTTCGCCATTGCACCCCACGCCATGCGGCAAAGATTCCGCCATGGCGCGGCAGCGGCGGGGAAGGTGGCTACGCTTGTGGGCTCAGGGTTTAGGGTATAGGATTTAGGGTTTAAGGTTTACAACCCTAAACCCTAAACCCTAAACCCTAAACCCTAAACCCTAAACCCTAAACCCTAAACCCTAAACCCTAAACCCTAAACCCTAAACCCTAAACCCTAAACCCGGCTTAGAGCTTAGGGTTAAGGGTTCAGCGGGGAGGCTTCTAGGGTGGTCGGGTTTATGGGTTCCGTTCAACTTTGAGGGTTCCTTTAAGTGTACTTGCAAGGGTTCCTTTAAGGGCTCCTTGTTTAAGGTTACTGGAGGGGTGCTATCGGGGTTTGGAGTTTAGGGTTGAGGAGTTTCGGATTGATGGTTGGAGGTTGAGTTTACAGGTGTTAGGCTCTAGGGCTTCGGGTTTAGGGCGTTTAGGGGTAAGGGTAAGGACCGTCAGGGTTTACGGTTGAGTGCGACGGGGTTTAGAGTTTGAGTTGCGCAAGGGAAAGTCGAGGGTTGAGAGTTGTAGGGTTGAGTCAGTGAGGGCTTGTGGTCTACGGATGAAGGGTTTAGGGTGTTCAGGTTTTTGTGGTTCCAAAGTAAGGAAGCTGGCCGACTGCACTTTGCCAGGATTGTGGCTGTGCTCTGCGCGGCACTCCTCGGCGCACACCTGGGAGGCACAGGATGTGTATTCCATCCACAGAGCTGTATTTTTCATGGTTTTTTCTGAGTAGTTCCGGGTATGTTCCTGCAAAGGACGCAACTAAACTAGAGCTTGCTCCATTAGACCCTAAATGCCCCTTATTTGGGACCATATACCCCTATTTGAGGGTACAAGGAGGGTCCTGGTATATAACACATGTAAGATGTCATCGGACAGAAGGGGGTGCAGGGTCTGGGGGGTTTTAAGGGGTTGGGGGTGGCTTAGGGTGTAAGGGAACCCTTAAACCCACGACCTAGCCTAAACCCATACAGGAATTCTGATCCTAGTGCAGGGGCCCAAATCGTCACCAATGCTATTTTGTGGGTTCCTTATTATATAAGTATAATGGGAAGCAAATCCCTTTTCCAATTATATTAAGGCCCCAATATGTCATAGTACCCTTGTAGAACCCCTTTGAAGGACCCATTAAAAGGAACTCTAGTCTAATTCTTAAGGCCCCTATAGCAGACCCCCGACCGTCGAAATGCGAATCGCTCGAAAACCTTAAACCCGAAACCCCTAAACCCCTAAACCCCTAAATGCCTAAACCTTAAACCCTAAACCCCTAAACCCCTAAACCCCTAAACCCTAAACCCCTAAACCCCCAGACCCCGAAACCCCTAAACCCCTAAACCCCTAAACCCCTAAATCCTAAACCCTAAATCCTAAATCTTGGAGGCAGAGCTTTTGCGGTCAACCCGGTGCCTGTCCTGGTGGCGTTTTCTGCGAACAAGCACTTTGCGGCGGTGTCGCTGGGAGGCTTCCGTCCACATCTAGTATTTGTTCACCAATATGTTTAGTTTTTTTTACCAATATGTTTAGTTTTTTTACCCAATATGTTTAGTTTTTTACCCAATATGTTTAGTTTTTTACCCAATATGTTTAGTGTCCACATCTCCTCTGTATTGAGCAGTGCATCTGCAGTTGTGGGCTAGGGTCTGGGTTCGAGCTTTGTGTGGGTTGACTTCCATGCTGGATGCAAGCCGAATGCCCCCTGCTAAGGGGTCGGAATGATTAGTAAGTATCCCCCCAAGCCTTCTTCTAGACTTTATTTTTAAAGCGTTTTGGACCTTGCCATGCACTCACACGTCCGAGTCACATAGAGGCTCCAGTATTCCTTGCATGCAGATCCCTTATTCAGGGCCCATACTCACTTGAGGAATATTCCGCAACCTTAGTCCAGGAACATACTATACTTGATTGGGGAGTATGCGGCAATATCTCTCAATCCAGGAATTCAGTCCCTTGTTCAAGATACCCTTTTGTTTGATTTGGCAAGGTTGCCCAATTGAAGAGTTTTGCAATCTCCCCGGCAGATTTGTGCAAGATTTGCCGGGCTGCACCCGAAGATGGCAGCTGGTGGCAGACGATCCCCCTAAACCCTAAACCCCAAACCCCTAAACCCTGAACCCGGAGCAGCCCACGGCAAAATTACATATTTATTTGTATGTCTACATATATATATACACATATATGTACTTACATATATATATATATATATATATATGAATGTGTATATTTATATGCACACATACATACATACATACAGAATATTTGTGTGTATATACATACATATACACACGCATACATCTTAAGTCACGAACTAATACATGTTCTCTCATACTCTGAGTACAAAGAAGAGCGTGCTGTCAGGTGAATCAGGATGCCCCTCCACGCCGGCTTCACTGCTGAAGGCCGCTTGTGCCCCCGCCGCTGTGGCACCCCTCGCCGATATGGGTAGTTTTCTAAATAAGGGTCCCATTTGAGGTCTCTTCTAATAACGGTGCCGTATTGTCTTTGGGAAACAGAAAGGGAGCCTAATCTAGAGAACTACCCATATACCAGCGTCAGACAGTTTGGATGAAGATCCTAGGAATTTAGGGTTTACGGTTTGTGGTTTGCGGTTTTTGCGGGCACATCAGCGCTGGAAGAGCTGAAACTTCGAACCTAGATCTGACATGTAAGCTGGGCCTTACGCGTTCGAGCTGTGATGCAAGAGACGGTTTAGGGTTTAGGGTTTAGGGTTTAGGGCTTGAGACCGCAAAAAGAAGCTGGGCCCCAAAGTCCAGAAAGCTTGGAAACTCCGGAGTGAAAGCCAGAAGCCCTCAACCCCAAACCCTGAAACGCTGGACCCGGAACCCTGAAACCACGGAGCCCTGAAGCCTTGTATCTAACCAACTCGAAGCGCTTCAGAGTTTTGTAACAAACTTATAAACCCCTCACCAAGCTTCATCGAATTTTTTGAGCAGCTTGATTAAATCCTGAAAAAGCCTCTTGCAAAAGCTGTATGTCAATCCTATAAAGCCTTACACAAGTCCAATACAACTCTTATAGCCCTGTAAAATTCGACAAGAGCTAGAAGACAATCATCGAATATTAGGAAAACCCTTTGCAAGACCTCCATCCAAGGCAGCCCCCTAAAAAACTCTGACATTTGCGAGGGCTGCCTTCCACCCCAGGCCAAGCCAAGTGGCTGATTCGGGTACTCAAGTATCCTGTTTAGCAGGCAGCTTTCCAGTGCGCGTGCGTGCGCGTGCGTGCGTGCGTGTGTGTGTGTGTGTCTCTGTCTGTGTGTGTGTGTGTGTGTGTGTGTGTGTGTGTGTGTGTTTCGGGTTTAGGGGTGTGTGTACGCGCGCCCTGCTTTGACGTCACTTTCCCCAACACACATGTTAACACAAGCCCTAAGTCCTAACAACCAGAGCGCAAACCCAAAACCCAAATCCCAAAGCCTAAGTCCCAAGCCCTCAGCTGCCCCAAACCGTGCCTAGTAATATAGGGGCCCTAAATAATTATACCAGTACTAATTTGGGAACCCTTTAAAGGAACCCTATTCTAATTATTAAGGCCCCTACAACAGGAGCTGGAGCGCTGGATGCAGTCCACCGGCTCCTGGCCCAGGTTGCCGGTTTCCGTTTGCTTGGGAGTTAGGATTAGGGGGACCTTTGGGGTTTAGACCCTCTCAATACGGCCCCTTTTAAGAGAGCCAGAAGTGACTCGCGTAAGTGAATGCTTGCCTGCGCATAGATCCCCAACCCATCAACAAAGCCACAAACACTAAACCCCAAGCCCCAGAAGACCCAGATACCGCAAACGCGAAGCTCAGCAATAAAGCTTGAAACTCCGAAGAGGTGTCATCCTCAGGTCATCGAAATATTGGTTTCATTTCATGGTTTTTTTTTAGGGTTTAGGGTTTAGGGTTTAGGGCAATTCAGGTTTCAAGGCTTGAGGGTAGTGGCTTAAGTCCCCGGGGTTATGGGGGAATCCCTAAACCCCACTTGGAGGATCATGGGACTTAGTAAGTAAGGTTATAAGTCCTTTAATTGGGGTCATAAGTATAGTTACCCTAACTATAACCCTAGTTACTAAGTCCCATGATCCTTTAAGCAAGCCTGACACCCATGGTCGAGGCCAGATACTGGCATCCTCTTCTGCTGAACCCCCGGAAGCCGTAATATAGGCACCGTAATAGTTAGAGTAGGGTTCCTTTAAAGGGTTCCATGTAACTATAAGGGATCTATAGGGGTACTATAATACAAGGGCCTTAATAATTAGAATAGGATTTTGGGGCCCATTACACGATATTTGTAAAAAGGAAGCCACCAAAACAGTATAGGTAATGAATCCAGGCCTCTATAGTAGACCCCGACTTCCGGAGCTGCATCTTCGTGCTTCGGGCGAATTCCAAGGCCCTGCATTGGCGCAAGCCTCTGAACCCTAATCCCCGAACCGTGAGCCCTAAACCCCAAATGCTAACCCATAAGCTACCGCTGACCTTTCAAAACTTATCGCCAATAGCTTAGAAGCTGCCCCCACCCTGTAATAGTGGTATAATAGGAATATAATAGGGCCCTAATATAATCCTTATAGTCACTATTACAGGTTGGGGGCAGCTTCTAACCAATAGCCCTGGATGCACGCTGAAGCCTTCCCCGCAGCGACCTTGTGCCAGTCCTTACAGCCCCGACGTCACCGGGAAGCCCACGGCATACCGCACCCTGGGCTACGGCCACGTGCGAAGCAAGCTCGGTGGCGCAGCTTCGAAACTTTAGTGTTTAGGGCTTAGGGTTTAGGAGATATTTTGGATGGAGTATCGGATCCTCGATGTAGTTCAGAGAGATGATTAGTTGCATTCTCTTTGGCATGTGGGTGAGGGAGACGTGGCACCTGACCCTGAACCCTCAAGCCCCCAAGCCCCCAAGCCCTGGACCTAAACCTTCAAGTGCAACTACCATCCACGCTGGTAGTGTTTGCAATCATATTCAGGCCTTTATCTTAACACTTATGGTATCCCTAATCGTCGAACTTGGAAATTCTGCCGGAAACTTCCTGGGTGTCGCTACCTCCACGATGGTAAGCCCTCTACTTTTTAGGGTTGAGGGTTAGGGTTTAGGGGTTCAGGGGTTTAGAGCTCCGCACTCTGAATCCCAAGCCCCAAACCCTAAACCTGCTCTGCATGTAGGGTTTAGGGCTTTAGGGTTTAGGGTTTAGGGGTTTAGAGTTTCGGGTTTAGGGGTTGAGGGGTTTAGGGTTTAGGGTTTTGGGTGGGAGTTTCCGAAAATTGGGGGTACCTTATTTTGGGGTCCTTATAATAGGGATCCTGCTATTTAGGGTACCAGTATACCTATAGTCTCCATTGCAGTTCCTTTTCTTGGTTAACCAGTTTTATGGTTAGGATCCTATAATAGAGATTTTGGTTAACCAAAAAGAGGAACTACAATGGAGACTATAGGTAAACCCTAAACCCAAGACGACGTAAACCGTGAACCCTGGACAACTCTCCAAACCCGAAGCCCTAGATCCCGAAGCCAAGAGAACCCCCAAGATGCAAGATCTAAACCCTAAACTTTACACCCTAAGCCCTAAACCCTAAACCCTGCCCTGCCCCGCCGCAGCATGAGGTGGCTACTGGAAGGAAGGGCGGCTGCTTGTGTCCTGCCTTCCGGCCCGGTCGTTAGTTCGTGAGTACAGTTCGAAACATTGCGATCTTCCATTGTGCTTGAGCGCTCGAACTTATGTCAATATCTGTTACTTGTATATGAATAGCTCTTACTTGTATTTGTAGCTATAGTTAGAACTCCAATGATTACTTACTCGTCGTTCTTTTGTAAAACACCGAGTGTAAATGGATAGAAAGATAGGTAGGGTCAGGTAGAGAGACATCGGCCGATGGATGGATCGGTAGGTAGATAGACAGATGGCCAGACGTATGTGTTTTGTTCATGTACATTATTCACATGCATGAGTATCTGTGTGTACATGAGTATGTGTATCTGTGCACATATACATACATATATACACGCACATTGATGTATATGTCTGTATGTTTATATGTATATGCGTATATGTGTATGCGTATATGTATACGTGCATGCGCATGTACATGCATATGTATATGTCAAGTATGTGTATATGTTGGTGTACCTGTACATGTATATGTATACTTATATGTATGTGCTTATGCCTATATGTATAATTACACTAAAGCCTAAACCTAAACCCTAAACCCTAAACCGTGGCTCTTTTAATTTCCCCTGCAGACCGAGGCTACGACGCGCTGTCGTGGCTTCGAAAAGGACTTCTGCCTGCCTCTGCTGCCGCAGTGCTTTGAGCAGATCGAACCCTGGAGTTCTTCAAAATCCCCCTCACAAAGGCAATACCTAACCCTAAACCCTAAACCCTGAACCCAAAACCCTAAACCCTAAACCCTGAACCCAAAACCCTAAACCTTAAACCCTGAACCCTAAACCCTAAGTCCTAAACCCTAAACCCTAAGCCCTAAGAGCCTCAACGCAGAAGAAAAAAGAGGCGGAGGCTCGCAGACCTCGATTCTTAAGCGCCGGATCGCAGGTACAAGCTCCCAAAGCAAGAGATCCCAGTTGGGTATTGCGATAAGGTTTTGGGCTTTAAGGGATCCTTTAAGGGTTCCTTTAAGGGATCTAGAAGGGTTCTATAAAGGGTTTAGGGTTTAGAGTTTCCGAAAAGAAGGGGTACCTTTATTTTGGGGTCCTTTTTATAAGGATCCTACTATTTAGGGTACTATATTCGGGTCCCCTACTATTGCGATAAGGTTTTGGGCTTAAGGTTTAGGATTCAGGGCTTAGGGTTCAGGATTCATGGAACAGGGTTTAGAGGTCGGGTTAGGGGCTTAAGGTGTAGGGTCTGCCGAGGAATTGCGCATAAGCGACAGTTTAGGGTTTAGGGTTTAGGGTTTAGGGGTTGAGGGGTTTAGGGTTTAGGGTTTAGGGTTTAGGGGTTGCGACAAGGCTGAGTCGAGTGCATCGTACTATGGCAATGAGCCGTGAAAGCCTATCTAAAGAAGTCTGTTCCTTCTTTCTCGCAGGGCAGGGCTGGGTGGCCCAGTTTGGGGGGTCCCGGAACCAGGGTAGGGTAACGACAAAGGCTTGAGCCTTTCCAAAGCGACATGATTTCCCAACTCCGCAACCCCATTTTCTACAACCCTTGTGGACCCCTTAAAGGAATCGGTAAAGCCCTGAAGCCCTAAAGAGGAGAAGAGCCCTCCTCCGAGATAAAGCCGCCGGATGCCGATGATGTGCGGCGGGGTAGCTGGGACGACGTGATGTTCTTCTCATATGGGAGTTTCCGAAAATAGGGGACCCTAATATGGTACCCTGATTAGTAGGATCCTTATTATAAAGACCCCAGTATAAGGTACCCCTAATTTTCAGAAACTCTCATATTCATCCTTGTTATCTAGGATTACGTAAGTGTGTAGGGCTAAGGGTCTGCACTTTTGTCTTTGTATACAAGGACGCCGCTAAACTCCGTGCATGCGCGATGTGTGTGTGTGTGTACATATAGACACATATACATATGCATCTCTGGGTACATAGATATACAGAGATATAGAGATGTACATATATAGGTATATAGCAGCGGACCATTGATGTATCTTCTCAGCTTGTGGCGGGACCTGACACTGTAGTGTTTTCGTAATCTTTATGGGCTGAGTCTTAGGGCTCAGAGACCAGGAGACTCTAAAATCTCAAATCCCGCGTTCCCGCCGTACGCCCTAAACCCGGTCACCTACACTCCACAACCGCTGCCTCAAGGCGAAGCAGCCCTGAAGCCGAGCCACTAAACACGGGGGCGCCAACCCCAAACCCTACTTGGAGGATCATGGGACTTAGTAAGTAAGGTTATAAGTACCTTAATTGGGGTTATAAGTATAGTTACCCTAATTAAAACCCTAGTTACTAAGTCCCATGATCCTAAGTAGACCCTAAACCCTAAACCCTATAGATCCCTTTAAGGAACCCTTATAGATCCCTTTAAGGAGCCCTTTAAGGAACCCCTACAGTTACTAAGTCCCATGATCCTTTAAGTAGAACCCTGATTTAAAGCCCAAAGCTCTCAACTCTGATCCCCCAAAACTCACAAGCCCGTAAACCCTAAGCCCTACCTTAACCCTGAAGAACCTACCTTTTTAGGGTTCCCTATTATGATTTCCTTATTTAAGTCCTTAAAAATGTAGGTTCTTCAGGGTTAAGGTAGAGCCTTAAAGCCTAAAGCCCTAAACCCGAGACACACGGCCCAGGGATGGAGCGCGTGACGGAGCGCGCGAGCAGCGAAGCCTCCGATGCAGAGCTGAGGCAGTGGATCTCGAAGGAGAGCCGACAGTCGACAGAGGGCGGTTTAGGGGTTTAAGGGTTTAGGATCTAGGGGTTTAGGGGTTTAGAGGTTTAGGGTTTAGGGTTTAGGGGTTTAGAGTTTAGGGTTGAGGGTTTAGGGTTGAGGGTCCCTTGAAGTTCAGCTTTGAAGGCTTCTATGAGCGTTCCTTAGCCTTTAAGGTTTCCTTCAGAGCCCTTTTAAGATTTCTATGAGAGGTCCTTTCTCGTTTCTATCAGAGTTCCTTCACGGTTTCTGTAAAGCTTCCTTTTAGGCGTTGTACAACACAAGCTAGGGTGCTACAGGGGTTTCCTTTAAGGGTTCTATAAGGTTCCTTCGAGGGGTCCTGTTAGGGTTTTAGATTTTCGCTAGGTTCCCCCAATGTCGCATTGAACTTGTCTTTTCTCTGGGCCTTGATTCAGGGGTTCTTATCGTTTGGTTGACAGTCTCATGCTGACAGCTTTATGCTGGGTTCTTGTGCAGGAGTTTAACTTGAGTAAGCATAGTACGGAAACTCTATTATCAGCTGTAGATCCCTAGTATGGTGACTTACCCTAAACCCTTTAACAAGAAGCCAGTATAGGGCTTGGTAATTGAGAGGGGCTTATGTGATGTTGTTGAACAGGGTCTATTTACATATTGGTTTTTATGCGGATGCAAAAAGGGGTTTCATTGTTTTCTAGAAGCGAAGTCATTGACATTGACCGAAGCTTCTTCAAGTCCGGATGGAGCCCGTGTTCCTTCCAGGCATTCGGCCGCGAGGATTACGTAGTCAATGTAGTTATGTGGTTTGCACTCCCGCAGGCGCAGCGAGCTTATTGGCCTGGTTTGGAACTCGTCTTTGTTTTTTTGCAATGCATTCGCCCACCGGGATTTTGAAAGTACCTGGTCCAGCGTCTTTGCTCCTCACCCCACCCAGTGGAAGAGCGAAAGTGAGGCCAGGGGCCCCAGAACGCACAGAAAGAAAAGCCACAAGTGGGGAATCTCAGTTCTCCTTTGGCTGTGCATTCGCCCGCGGGGATTATGGAAACCGGACGGGGGCTGACCACAAAAAATTGCATAAGCCTCGTGGGCGTGGGTGAATGCACTGAAAAACACAGGTAGGCCGAAGTGTTTCTCTGCAGTGCATTCGCTCTGTGTATGTCTCAATGACTGTGCCACCGCCTGCATCTGTGTTTACAGCACCATCTATCTGCGTGCAGGCAAGCATGTCGAGTCTAGGAAGCAGATAGATAAGCGGCTTCAAATTAACTTACGCTCCTTAACAACAACCCACCACAGTATGTGAAAGACCCTAGGCCCTAAACTTTCATCCCTAGTCCCTAAACCTTAAACTTTAATCCCGACTCCCTCAAACCCCTAAACCCTACATCCTGAGACCCTCTACTACCATACCCTAAACTGCACAACCCTTCAAAACCCTAAACCCTACACCCTAAACCCTAAACGGCAAAACTCCTCAAAACCCCCAACCCTAAACCCTACACTCTACACCCTAAGCCCTAAACTGCAAAGCCCCTCAAAACCCTAAACCCTGCATCCTACACTGCGAAACCCTTCAAAAGCCTAAACCCTACACCCTACACCCTAAACCCTGAACTGCAAAACCCTTCAAAAGCCTAAACCCTACACCCTAAATCCTAAACTGCAAAACCCTTCAAAAGCCTAAACTCTACACCCTAAACCCTAAACTGCAAAACCCCTCAAAACCCTACACCATACACCCTAAATCCTAAGCCCTGAACTGCAAAACCCCTCAAAACCTTCAACCCCAGACCCGAAACCCTAGACCCTAAACCCTAAAGTGCAAAACCCTTCAAAACCCTAAACCCGAAACTGCAAAGCCTCTCAAAACCCTAAACCCTAAACTGCAAAACCCCTTCAAAAGCCTTCAAAGCAAAAGCGCGGCGAGGAGTACGGGGCTGCTGGCCTAAAGCAACTCCTCGGGGCGGCACAGGCGATGGATTTTCGGGTTTAGAGGTTTAGGGGTTTAGGGTTAGGGTTTGGGGTTAGGGTTAGGGTTTGGGGTTTAGGAGTTTAGGGTTTAGGGTTTAGCGTTTAGGGTTTAGGGTTTAGCGTTTAGCAGTTTAGGGTTTAGGAGTTTAGGTTTTGGGAGTTGAATTTGTCGGGGCCCAGGGTGTAGGAGTTAGGGGTTTCGGGTTTATAGGGTGTAGGAGTTTAGGGTTTGGGGTTAGGGTTTAGGGTTTATGGGGTTTAGGAGTTTAGGAGTTTAGGGTTTAGGGTTTAGGGGTGTAGGGGTTTAGGGTTTTGGCGCTTCAGGGCTTGGGGTTTAGGGTTTACAGTTTCGGGTTTAGGGTTTCCATGAGCAAAGAGAGCAGAATTGTTCCTAAAGTGTTTAAACGCATAAGTGTAAGCGTATGAGAATGGCCTTCATATAGTGGAGAAAGCACAGAAGTACTCACAAGGGCGGCACAACTAAAGCAAAATCGAGAACAGTCAGGCTAGTCCGAGGAAGCAAAAGCCAGACACGAGCTGCAGCAGCGGTAGCAAAGCTGTCGGCAGGATCCGGGCAACACCTCCTTGCAGGTGCTGAAGGACCTCACAGCGAGAGTTTAGGCTTTTCTTTAGGGCTGCGGTTTATGTAGGGCTCGCTTCGATTCAGCACTCCAAACCCCATACCCTGGACTCGAAGGCTTTTGCAGAGAGTGAGTCTCTGAACCGTGAGCCCGAAGCCCTACATGTCTCGTCAGGAGTTCTTCACATGGTTTCGGGATGACTTCCCTTACTATCGAGGTGCCGGTTTGGCGGCTGATAGGGGCTTGCGGATTCCGGAGTTTGCAGGGTGTGGAGCTTCGGGCTCAGCTAACGTTAGGCATCTAAGGACTCATATATTAAGGCCTTTGGGCCCAAAGACCATACTATATGAGGCTTCATATATATTAAGGCCTTTGGGCCCAAAGACCATACTATATAGGGCCTTTGAGCTGTTTTGATGCTCAGCTTAAGCCTCTTCAGGGTTCACGGTTCAAGGTTGAGTCGCTGTTTGGGAACAGAAGCCCGGTTGCTTGGTTCAGGGACAGATAGCCTTCAGTCGTCCGGCAGTTGCCATACAAGCCCCAAACCCTAAACCCTAAACCCCTAAACCCTAAACCCTAAACCCTACACCCTAAACCCTAAACCTTAAACCTTAACCGACTGACAGGGCTCAATCCGCCCAAGAGGATAGAGCTGACCTAATTCATAGTGATGCATACTGTACGGGGACCCTAAGGAACCTATATTTTTAGGCCCCCCTAATATGATTTCTGTATATAGGTCCTTAAAAAGGTAGGCTATTTGGGTTTAAGGTAGGCCTTGAAAGACTTCTATAAGGGTTCTTCAAAGGGTTTCACAAAGCCTTTTGGGCGTTGTCCGTTATTATGGGGTTCTGTACAAGGTTCTACAGGGGATCCGTAAGCTGCTTTAAGCAGGTTCTACGGGGGTTCTGCGCGCTTTGCGGGAGACGCCGAGGTGGGAGTTTCCGAAAATGAGGGGTACCTATTGTGGGGGTCCTTATAATAAGCATCCTACTAGTTAGGGTACTATAAAAGGGTCCCCTATTTTTGGAAACTCCCAGGTGCTTGCAAGTCCTGCCAAAACAGCACAGACTGCCTTGGACTGGTGAGGCGCTGTGTTGTGTGGGCCGTTTCCTTTTCTGTTTTTTAGGGTTTAGGGTTTAGGGTTTAGGGTCTATCTGAGCCCTAACCCTAAACTTGCCAACCCTAAACCCTGACCCCTCATCCCACCCTGAAATCGGTGGAGGGGTGTATTCAGGGTTTTTGGAGTTCAGGGTGCAGGGGGTTTATAGTTCTGATCCAGAGTTTGCGGGCTCCGGGTTTATTAGGGGTCTAGGATGCCCAGTAGTATATACCCTTATTCCCTTTTTGTAGTCCCAGGTTCCTTATACAAGTACCCAATACCAAAAAAGGGAGGCCTTTTTTTTCTCCTAGGTTACTGGGCATCCAAGGGGTTTGTTGAGGTTGTTGAAGAAGGGCTTTCCTGAACCCTTAGACCGCCTAGACCGTACCTGAAAACCCCTATACCCTACCTTAACCCTGAAGAACCTAGATTTTTAAGGACTTATCTAAGGAAATCATAATAGGGAACCCTAAAAAGGTAGGTTCTTCAGGGTTCAGGTAAGCATTGAAGGCTCCGGCTGCGTTTTGCTTCCGGGCCAAAGGCTCAGGGCCAGGCTTTTGGTTTTGCTGAACTAAGACATTGTGGCGGTAATATTGAAGCCTAAGGCCCTAAACCCTAAACCCTAAACCCTAAACCCTTAGACATTGTGGAGGTAATATTGAAGCCTAAAGAGTCACTAACATCATTCCCGAGGGCTCCTTTTCATAACTGTAGCTGTGCGATAACGGAGCCCAAACTCCTATTCAGGTAGTCTCCATTGTAGTTTCCTTGTTGGGTTAACCAAAATCTCCATTATAGGACCCTAACTATAAAACTGGCTAAGCCAAAAAAAGGAACTACAATGGAGACAAAAGGTATACTGGTACCCTAAATAGTAGGATCCTTGTTATATATAAGGATCCCAAAATAAGGTACCCCCAATTTTCGAAAACTCCCACCCCAAAACCCTAAACCCTAAACCCCTCAACCCCTAAACCCGAAACTCTAAACCCCTAAACCTTAAACCCTAAACCCCTCAACCCCTAAACCCGAAACTCTAAACCCCTAAACCCTAAACCCTAAAGCCCTATATCCTACATTAGCCTCGACCCTTTGTCAAGCCGGGCCTTCCGCAACCCAGACACTCCAATACCCCTTAATTAGGGAATTCTTCCTTAAATCCTTAAATCATATTATGGGTCCTACTGTAGTTTAAAGGATATTCCTTAATTAGGGAATTATTCCTTAAATCATATTATGGGTCCTACTGTAATTTAAGGTGTATTCCTTAATTAAGGGGTCTTGGAGTCTCTGGGGAACCCACCAGCTTCTACTCGAACTTTTCAGCCTGGCCAAGTGCCCAAGCGTGAAAGCCGCAGCCATACGGGAGTTTCAGTACCCTAAATAGTAGGATCCCTTAGTCCAATAGTATAAGGACCCCCAAATAAGGTACCCCTAATTTTCGGAAGCTCTCATGCGGTTTCCGGGTTTAGTTTCGCTGCCAGGCCTCTATAGTCAGCAGTCCCAGCAGCCATAATCCAAAACAAAAACCGCCTAACACCTCAACCACAAACTCTGAACCACTAAACACCGAAAAAGTTCAAGCTCTAGCCATAAGCTCAAAATTCTAAACCCTACTACCTACAAAGTAAATTACACAGCAAATCTCGGCAAGGCCCGGCGAGCGCGAGCGCAAGGAGGGAGGCGTGGTATTTTAAAGGTTTAGGGTTCAGGGTTCGGGTTTTGGGTGGGTTTATGGACTTCGGGTTCTTTCTAGGGTTGCAATAAGGGTAACGACTACTGTAAGGCTCCATGAGGGTTTGGTTTAGGGTTTGTGTCTTTAGTCTGTAGGGCTCGAGGAAATGCTTGAGATTTGGGCTTTGTGTCGACATGTAGGGTTGCAGTTTGGTGGCTCTTTAGCCTTTAGGGTTCGAGGTCGTGATATGATATTCTAGGTGCGGGTAGTCTAAAGATTGGGGTTTGGGTGTTCAGGGTGGTATGAACTAAGCCAGGGGGATTTAGGCTCCAAGACCCTACTTGGAGGATCATGGGACTTTGTGAGTAAGGTTATAAGTACCCTAATTGGGGTTATAAGTATAGTTACCCTAATCATAACCCTAGTTACTAAGTCCCATGATCCTTTAAGTAGAGGTTAAGGCTTACCTTAAGCCGGAATAACCTACCTTTTTCAGGACTTATATAAGGAAATCATACTAAGGAACCCTAAAAAAGTAGGTTATTCAGGGTTAAGGCGTAGGGTTTAGGGATTGAGGGCCAGGCTCCTGCCTTAGGACGTTCCAGGCTTAAGCACATGAACCTGGAGGGTCCATATATACTACCATTATGGAATTAGGCCCCCAAAGCCATAACAGGGATGGTATTGCTTAATGGTAGTATATATGGACCCTCTGGGGGAGTGAGCTCCTTGATCCTACAGCGTTGAGGTTGAAGCAAGAAGCCTTCTGCCTCGGTCTAGGGCCTTACAGTACCGCCGGAGCCCGAAACATTGAGGCCTGCACCACATCCCGTTCACAGCTAGGCAGGTGGCGAATTTCGAACCGGGTACAGTACTATAGCCAAAATACCTGTGGAGACCCCTGAAAACACCAAAGCCCCGAACCTACAGACACCCCGATAGCCCCTCTCGCCTAAGCCCTACACCCTAAACCCTAGGCCCAAAGCCTACCTAAGCCCTAAACCCTAAACCCCAAACCCCTAACACCCTAAACCCTAAACCTTAAACCCTAAGCCGAAATGCCTGAAATTTAAAGCGGCACTGTTTGAGCTGTCTATACTGTGTTAAGATCCCTTAAAGGAACCCCTTATAGATCCCTATTATGGTAACTTATGCTAAATCCCTTAGCAAGATCCCTTATAGAACCCGAAAAAAAACCCTAAATTCTGGTAACTTAAATTCAATCCCTGAACCCCAAACCCTGACCGATAAACCCCAAACGATAGACCCCAAACCATGGGAATCCCTTAACAAGAGCACAGTGTACTTGGAGGTTCATGGGTAGTTACAAGTAGGCTCAAAACGTAGGGTTACTATACTTATAACCCATATTAGGGGACTTATAACCCACTTATAATTACCCTAATCCCTAAACCCTAAATCCCTATAGAGCCCTTTAAAGGGACCCTTAGAGGAACCCCTATAACCCCACTTATAGCTACCACGCATGAACCTCCAAGTAGGTGCCGGCGTCTCGGAGGTTTACTTCTGCACAGGCTCCTGCCTTCGGCCGGTCTTTCGTTGAGGGTTCAGGGTTCAGGGTTTTGGGTTTAGGGGGGTTTCGGGTTGAGGGTTTAGGGTTCAGGGTTCAGCGTTTTGGGTTCCGGGTTGAGGGTTTAGGGTTGAGGGTTCAGGGTTGAGGGTTCAGAGTTTTTCGGGTTGAGGGTTGAAGTCACGGTTCAGGGTTAGGGTTCAGGGTTTCGGGTTGAGGGTTCAGGGTTTCGAGTTGAGGGTTCAGGGTTTCGGGTTGAGAGTTTAGGGCTGAGGGTTTCGGGTCTTGTCAGTTGGCACTTCCTCTCGTTTGGTTTTTTGCGTTGGATAGTTATCATGCTGTTTTTGTCATTGCTGCCTTTCTTCGTCTTTCTCGTCCTTTCCGTCGTTGTCGTCGTCGTCGTTCCTTGTCATCGTTGTGGTGGTGGTGGCAGCGGCGGTAGTGGTGGTGGTCATCGCTGTCGTCAGTTTTGTCGTGGTTATTGTAATACTTCGCATGTTTGTTTGGACCTAATGTGTAGGGACTTGAAGTTGTCTGAGTGAATGCATATTTATGGATAGGTACGCATATGTATGCACATGGAACTACATGGGCATGCATCTCATCGCCATATCCGCATGCCTCTCTGCATGACAAACTGGGGTCAAATCTTAAGCCCCATCCCACCTATAGTCTCCATTGTAGTTCCTCTTTTTGGTTAACCAGTTTTACTGTTAGGATCCTACAGTAGAGATTCTGGTTGACCAAAAAAAGGAGCTACAATGGAGACTATAGGCAAACTCCAGGTTGCAACGTGACGACCTTCTTTCCCCGCTTTCGCACGGTGCGCCCAGTGCTCGGTGCTCATCGCGGGCGATGTGGAGAGCGGCTGGGTCGGATAATTTGTGGAAAGAGCTGACAAACCGCAAGGTGTGCCGGTTCATCGAGTCCCACAGCCGAAACCCTAAACCTAAGGACCCAAAACCCTCAACCGTAAGCCCTTGAAGCCGAGAAGCCCTAAGCCCTCAACCTCAGTCGGCCCCCGCAGAAACCGCGCAAAGCCCGCAATAAAACCCCAAACCCCAGTAATACAGGGGCCGAAACAACTATATACCAATGCTATTGTGGGGATACCATATAATTTTGAGAGACCCCCAAAACCTACTTTAAGTATTGGGGCCCTCATTAATTTATCTCTTAGCACCCCGTTGGTTCCCGTATAGAACCCTTGAAAGAACCCTCGACGGAACCCTACTTTAGCTATGAAGGACCCTATATGAGCCCCCGTAAAGCTTAGGGTTTAGGATTCCCTAAACCCTAACCCCTGAACCCTCAACCCCTAAACCTGAAACCCTAAACGCTAAACTCTAACTTCTGAACCCTAAACCCTCAAGCCCAGGATAAATCCAAAATTGTTTAGGCAAAGCAAAACACAAAACCCGGTCAAAGCTCCGGGCCTGAACCCTAAACAATTTGTGTAGACACTACGCCCCTTAACCTTGAACCCTGAACCCTATAAACTCTAAGCTCCTAAACCCTAAACCCTAAACACTACACCCCTGAACCCTGAACCCTAAACTCTGAACTCCTGAACCCTAAACCCTAAACACTACACCCCTAAACCCTACACCCTAAACACTACACCCTTAAACCCTAAACACTACACTAAACTGCTGAACCCTAAACCCCGGTAGCCGCCCTAAGGTACTCCTGGGTGGCCTTGCGGCTCCTCGAGGCGCTTGGCTTCGGGGCGCGCTGGGCCGCTTGGTGAAAATCGTTTTGTTTTTTTTGTTCCTTCAGGGTTTTTTGAGGGGTTTAGGGATTGTTTAGGGTTCAGGTGTAGGGTTTGGGGTTCTTTATCTGAGTTTACACAGGGTTTTTGATCCTTTAGGGTTCCTTAAAGGGTTCAAGGGTTCTTTAAGGGGCTTTTAACGGGTTTAGGGTTCAGGTGTAGGGTTTGGGGTTCTTTAAAGAGTTTACTGTGTAGGGTTTAAGGTTCTTTAAATGGGTTTAGGGTCTAGGGTTTCGGGTTGGATTACAGGCTTTGCAACCTCCTCTATGGGGTTCTCGAAGAGTTTATGAGGTATACTATAAGGCTACTGTAAGGGTTTTGCAGAGGGTACCTTGTTGTAGCGGGATTACCCTAAGGGGTCTAGCCAGGGTTTTGAAAGGATTCCAACACGAGGTTGAAAGGGTTCTAGAGGTCTTTTGCTTGTTTTGGTCGGGGTTCTACAAAGGTTCCATACATGTAATACACGGGCCGAATGAGCTTTTCTGTTAACTGTTTGCGGCCGTAGAGTTGCCTGTCTGTCCTATTTTTTCGAAGTGACGGGGGGGCCCCTTAAACATAAAGGGTCCAATGTACCGATATAGTAGAATGTAGGGTTTCCATATTAGGAATTACTATTATGACTTAGGGAAGTATCCCCCATAACAGTATATACATAGGACCCTTTGGGAAAGGATCCTTTAAGGGAGCCACTGAGGTCGACAACTACGCGGGCCACGTCTGGGTGGAAGCCTTTGCGGCTGGGCGCTGGGTTCACATCGACCCGTGTGAGGCTGCAGTGGATGCCACCTGGACGCAGAGGGCTTCGGGCTTGGTATTCTTGCACCGTAGACCCGAAGCCCTAAACTCCAAGCCCACTTAAGGCTTGGAGTTCCCGGGTTCTGGTTAAGGGCTTTAGTTCCACTTGCCATCATAAGCAATTTCAGTTGCCATAGTAAGGAAACGATTTTATTCACGATAGATCCCGATTATGGAAACCTGAAACCTTAGACCCTTAAAGAAGCCTTTGTAGATCCCTTACAGGAACCCTGGTAGAGTAGGTCCGTAAATTCCGTAACAAGAAGCCAGTAAAACCCTAAGCCCTAAACAACTAACCCTAAACCCTGAACAACTAAACCCTAAACCCTAAGCCTCTATAAACCGTAAGCCCTGGGACTTCCTGTGACCCCAAACCCTACAAAATAGTAGGTTATGACCCCTTAGTTATAGGGTAAAACCCTTGAAACGGTAGGGTTTCGGATCCCTAATATATAAGTCCTTAAAAGGGTAGGTTCCTTAAGGTCCAGGTGACTTCTTCCACCCCAGACCTTCCAAAATCCCTTAATTAAGGAAAATACCGTACTTCATATTTGGGATCCTATTGTAATTTACGGTATGTTACGGTATATTCCTTAATTAAGGGATTTTGGAAGGTCTGGGACTGTGCGGCCCAGGAGCCCTTGCTCTACGCCACTGGCTGGGGCCGATGCCCGGACCACGTTTTGGCCTACCAGGTTCCGGCTCTTGGGGGGTTTAGGGGGGTCCTTTAAGGGATCTTTAGGGCTCTATATTTCTATAAGAGCTTAAGGGTTTATGGTTTAGAGTTTAGGGTCATGTCTAAAGTGTGGGGTTGAGGGTTTGAGGTTTAGGGTTTAGGGTTTGAGGTTTCGTATTCAGGGTTCACGGGTTATGTCGGGTTCAGGGTGTGGGTTTTGATCTGGTTTGCGAGCATGTGCTGGCGTGAGTGATGTTCGCAAGCTTTACACTGATTTGGTTGTTTATCGCAGAGTCCTGAAAATTTTAGTCTTTCGTGTCTGAGGGTTCTGGTGGGGATGGGACCTTGTCCAGTCTGGGGGAGATGCTCACGGCAATACAGGAACGTCAGATTATTCGGACAAGAATTAAGACTTGTGATCTGCAGCAGATGTTTCTCAGAGAGCCAAGAAGAGTATAAGTATGCACAAGAGCGCCGAAAACAGCGTCGAGAATTCCGTGCAGGGATTTCGGGTAAAGATGCTTAGACAGACGGGTGGCATGCACAATAGAGCTTGAGACGTACGAGGTCCCTGCATAATTCTGTGTTGTAACATACGCCAAAGCCTCTTCATTGTCAAGGACCCTGTGTTGCCGTCTGTTTCGCTTGCCAAAATCCTAAAAACCTTAAAACCCCAGAGCCCTATTCTAAAGGCCCTAAACCCTATAGAAGTTTCTGAAAATAGGTCCCCTAATACTTAAATAGGTCCCCTAGTATTGTACCCTAAATGATAGGATCCTTATTATAAGGGCCCCCAAATACGGTACCCCTCATTTTCGGAAACTCCCAATGAACCCGTGCGATAGGGGTTCCAAAAGCCAATAGCAGGCCATGGGTTCGGATGTGACCATCACGGACGTTACGGCCAGCTATCGCCCAGCCGATGCAGAAGCGATTCCGGAGGCAGGGCGTAGGATTTAGGGTTGTTTTGCGGTTTGGGATTTCCAGGGTTTTCGGGTCTGGGATTTAGGGCTTATGTAGGGTTTGGGGGGGTCGAGGTCGCTGGGCCCACCTTTTCGGATTAAGTAATCTATAGGGTTTTACCCTAAATCCTAAAGCTCGCCAGGTTTCGGTCGAGGAGTTAGGGTTTTGGGCTTCAGCCCTTAAAGGGTTTAGGGTGTTGAGATTAGGGATTCCAGGGATTTGGGGAAGCTGGGACTGGGAGGATTCGGCCTCAGGAGATTCCTTAACGAAACCCTTATAACCCGTGTAGAAGCCCTGTAGATCCCTTTAAAGGGACCCTTAAAGGAACCCTTATAACGACCCATATCACGGTCCCTTTAAAGGAATCCTCAAGGCCCCCGACTCGAGACTCTTGCTCCCTTCAGGAGACGAGACGGAAGGTATCAGAAGCTGTGGCAGAAGCACTCGCCCACCCGCCAGGAGCCAAAATGTAGGGTTTGGGGCTTAGGGGTTTTAGAACGGTGAGGGTGCAGAGTGGCTTGAAGTGGGTTTTGCAATGGGTTTGATAAGGTGTTTTTGTGCTCTCCGTTTCGGGTTCGGTTTTCGGCTTGAAGGTATTTGGGATGGGGCTGTTTAGGTTACTGTGGGGTTGCATGCATGTTGTGGCCTTGTGGTTGAGATCGTCGAGTCAAGGCTTGAGGTTGATGTAGGGCCTAGGTTCACAGGTTGGGATTATTCAATATTCAGCTGTGGGGTTTTGGATGAGCATTGAATCCGATTCAGGGATCAGAAAACTCGTGAAAAATCTGGAACCTTCCAGGGAAAAAGTGTACTTCCTGTGATGGCCCGGAATGGTCCCCATGCCCCACATAGATCCTCCCGAAGCCCCATACAGCTCTAAGCGCTAACACCCTAGACCCTACGTAAACCTATGTAATCCCTGAACCTCCGTTATAGTGCAGGACCTGCTACGACGGCGGTGGCCGACGGTGCAAAAAGTCTGCAGGTATGCTCTGCCTTGAAGACCAATGACCCTGAAAAGTAGGGACCCAACACTGTTACAGTATACTATGAAGTATCCCTATTGCGGTAATTGATCCGTAAACCCTTTTGGGTACATGTCGTCCTTTAGGTAAGAGTCTAACATCAGGACTTCTCACACGAAGGGTTCATAGCTATGGGTTCCCATCTCAGGAAGAGTCCTCATAGGTTTTGGGCTCACCTACTACTTATGGTCGGCATAGTCCACTGACAGATATATGCGATCGTTCCCAAACTCAAGTGAAGGTCACAGCACCTGCTTCTTCTTCCTGTCGCACCTGAGTCCCCTATGACTTTTTGTCCGACTCCGACAATCGTGAAGACCTTGGGTTTTGGGTTTTAGGGTTTAGGGTTTAGGGGTTAGGGTTTAGGGTTTAGGGTTTAGAGTTTAGGGTTTAGGGTTTAGGGGTTGAGGGTTTGAGGGTTTAGGGTTTAGGGTTTAGGGTTTAGGGTTTAGGGTTTACGGTTTAGGGGTTGAGGGTTTTAGGGTTTAGGGTTTAGGGTTTAGGGTTTGGGGTTTAGGGTTTAGGGTTTAGGGTTTAGGGGTTGAGGGTTTTAGGGTTTAGGGTTTAGGGTTTAGGGTTTAGGGTTTAGGGTTTAGGGGTTGAGGGTTTAGGGTTTAGGGTTTAGGGTTTAGGGTGTGGCAGGCGAAGTCGCGCGCTCGGGTGTGAAGCACCCCGGGCCGCGCGCTCGCGTTGCTTGTAAACCCACCCCGGCCACCCAAACTATACTCTATTAGGGTTTAGGGTTTCTACCCCCCAACCCCCCTATCAAGGGGGGCTTTTATATTTTTGCACCCATGAACGTTCCAGTTGTTTAAGTTGTGGCCTAGGCAACGGCTGGGAGTAGCCTCGGCCCTTTTCGGGCCTTCGGCATGGCAGGGCCGGCTCGGCCCTTTAACCTTATCGTTTGAAAGCTTTGGAAACCAAAAATCCAAGAAATCCCTATTTTTGCATCCATAAGGTTCCAGTTGTTTAAGTTGTGGCCTAGGCAACGGCTGGGAGTAGCCTCGGCCCTTTTCGGGCCTTCGGCATGGCAGGGCCGGCTCGGCCCTTTAACCTTATCGTTTGACAGCTTTGGAAAATCTAGATTTTAGAGCTGGTTCCTAGACCCTAAATCCTAAACCCTAAATCCTAAATCTTAAATCTTGGATCCTAAATCCTAAACCCCAAATCCTAAATCCTAAACACCAAATCCTAAATCCTAAACCCTAAATCCTAAACCTTAAATCTTAAATCTAGATTTTAGAGCTGGTTGTCCTTTTCCGAAAAGGACAAGCGCGACTAAATATTGAAATCCGGAAGCTTAAGAGCAGCCACACGAAAAGAAAGGAGGGGACCTCGAGATTCGCAACCGGCCTTCTCTAAAAGGCACATTTTATGAACAGAATTTGTCACTTGAAAATCACCAGCAAAAATCCAAATTTCCGGAGGCTAAATCCTAAATCCTAAATCCTAAACCCTAAATCCTAAATCCTAAATCCTAAATCCTAAATCCTAAACCCTAAAACCTAAATCCTACATCCTAAATCCTACATCCTAAATCTTAAATCCTAAATCCTAAATCCTAAACCCTAAATCCTAAATCCTAAATCCTAAACCCTACATCCTAAATCCTAAATCCTAAACCCTAAAACCTGAATCCTAAATCCTAAATCCTAGACTAAATATTGAAATCCGGAAGCTTAAGAGCAGCCACAAGAAAAGAAAGGAGGGGACCTCGAGATTCGCAACCGGCCTTGTTTAAAAGGCACATTTTATGAACAGAATTTGTCACTTGAAAATCACCAGCAAAAATCCAAATTTCCGGAGGCTAAATCCTAAATCCTAAATCCTAAATCCTAAATCCTGAATCCTAAATCCTAAATCCTAAATCCTAGATCCTAAATCCTAAATCCTAAATCCTAAATCCTAAACCCTGAAATCCTAAATCGTAAATCTCAAATCCTAAACCCTAAATCCTAAATCCTAAACCCTAAATCCTAAATCCTAAATCCTGAATCCTAAACCCTAAATCCTAAATCCTAAATCCAAATTTCCGGAGGCTAAATCCTAAATCCTAAGTCCTAAATCCTAAACCCTAAATCCTAAATCCTAAATCCTAACCCAAAAAAGGGGCACCAGAGCAAATGGATCACGGTTTGGGGTTATTATATAGCTACGCTAGAGGTGGTCCCGATACGGCGGTCCCTCGTTTCGAAGACTTCCCGTTGGGGTTTGCCATGGGCTTTACACCGTTGACCTGTGCAGGTCAGACCGGGGAGGCTTTACCCTCCCCTCTCCGCGTCCCGCTCTTTTCGTAGGGGCGCTCGGGCTGTTAGGCCCTCGGCCAGAGCGCTCGGGGCCTGTCGTTCGACGGTTTCGGCCCCTCGCTTAGTTTAGGGTTTAGGGTTTAGGGTTTAGGGGTTGAGGGTTTTAGGGTTTAGGGTTTAGGGTTTAGGGTTTAGGGTTTAGGGTTTAGGGGTTTAGGGTTTAGGGTTTAGGGTTTAGGGTTTAGGGTTGACAATCATTAAGACCTGATTCAACATGAAGCAGACTCATGAAGCAGACTGACATCCGTAAGACCAGGTGCAGCCTTGTTTTCGGAAGTTTCCAGGGAGGCCCAACCTAAAGTTTACCCTGCCTGGATGTGCTTATTATGACTCTGCTTGTGCAAAGTGAGTTTCGGATATGTGGTGCGAGTGCAGGCTCGCGGTTTTAGTAACTTAGAAGACTCTAACCCTAAGCGTTTCGGACTTGATACCACATCCGCAGGTTTTAATTTTCAAGTGGGCAAGAGGGGGTAAAGCCGTCCTCTGCTTGCGTCATGTGGGAGCCCATAGCGAATTTAGAAGAGACAGAAAGGCAGGACAAGCTTTCCTCTGCGAAGCAGAGAGAGGCCGGATGTTGGGAAAAGTTCTACGCCGTGATAATCTGTGCCTTCGTAGCTTCAACTGGGCTCTTCCACGGCTACGATAACGGCGTGGTGAATGGCGTCTTTACTATGGCCAGCTTTAGGGAGATGATGGGCTGGCCGGCGACAGAAAGTGCCAGCGTTGCCTTCTGGGAAGGCCTCACCGTGAACGGCTTCAACGTCGGCGCAGCCGTGGCTGCTGTCCTTGCGGGCCACTTGCTTGTGGATAGGCACGGAAGGCATCCTGCGCTTCTCATGGGCTCCCTGCTTTTTGCCTTGGGTGGTGGAGTACAAGGGTCGGCGCAGAACAGGGCTATGCTTATCGTGGGAAGGGTAGTGGCCGGTATCGGTGTAGGTATCACCTCATCAGCTGGGCCAGCCTTCATTTCCGAAGTCGCCCCGGAGAAGATCCGTGGTATGCTTGTAGGCATCTATCAAAACAACGTCTGCTTAGCCATCGTGGCTGCTGCAGTGCTGAACTACGCCGTCCACGACACCGTGCTCGGCTGGCGCTTGTCTCTGGGTCTCCAAGTTGCTGCTGGGCCGTATTTAGGGGTTCCCAAACAGAGGTGCTGCAGTAGGGATCCTGGTAATAAGGATCGCAACACTTAGCCCTCACTGACTCATGGTAACCCTAAACCCCTGAACCCCTAAAATCCTGAAAAACAAACCCTAAGCCCCTTAACTTAACCCTAAACTTGTAGGAACCTTCATAGTAACCCTAAACCAAGTCTACCTAAACCCTAAACCCCTTATGGTAGCCTGCAGGACACAACCTAGTGTCCCCACTGCCGCCACTCTTTTGGCTCCTGAGCAGCAAAGGGTCCTCGGAAGTCGACCTGCAGAAGCGGGCTTGCACTGTCACTCCCTAAACTCTAAAAACTGGGATGACTTGGATCTCCGTGAGCTTGACTCACTGCTTGAAACGACGAACCTCTTTAGTGCCCGGATAGGCGGTACCTTCGGCACCTGGAATCCAGCCAGAGGCTTTGAGGAAATTAGCCAAATCATCTACCTTCGAACTACGATTTGTACCGGCGTTGTCATGCACCCAGACACGGTAAGACTTCACGTGCTCAGCATCACTCTCAAGAATCTCTTGGTAGCAAAGGTTGTCGTTCTTGATCTAGGGTAATGTACAGAGAGTCCGACCCCAGTCGCGAAGACTGCGGATGCCATCGGGAAGCTTTGCAGGTTCAGGAAGGCCTTCGCAACGTGCTTTCTGTTCCCATGGGCTGCTGCGGAAACCTCTGTGAAGTCAGTGGAGTGCACGTCAACGTCGGTGTGTCCGAAGATCTCCAAGAGCTCGAAAGGATCCAAATCGCTATCGGGCTTTGAGCGCTTAGACGCATCCGACATGTTGCTCACCATCGTGCCCTCGAGAAGCTCGGGGTGGTGCACGGTGATGAGGTTGGCATCGGCAAGATGCTTCAGCCAGGCACGAAACTCGGCATACTTCGCTACGTCTGCACTTGAACGTGCCGCCATGGCCGGAAAAGGAGACGACAGGCAAGAACATCAGAGGGCGTTGCTGGCTCGACAGTGCACCTGGTGGGACACTGTCGGCACCCATACGCACAGGATGACCCTGGGCGACCCATACACATAGCAACACTCTCTTGCAGGGCATACTCACGAGGAAAGACTGTACAACAAAGACGTCAGGTCCTAAAAGCAACCCTAACCCCAAGGGAGCTACAGCACTAACAGCCAAGACTACCCAGTATCCTGGTCCTAAGCCTCTGGGGCCACTTGGTGGCAGAGGTCGGCACTTGAGTCTCTCGCGCTGGGCCTTTTGCTTTCAGGACGGAAGCTTCACTTGAAAGCTGGTACGTCCCAAGCTCGAGGACTGCACGGAGAAGATCTGCGGGATCAGCTGTGTCTTTTGTGAGGGCGTCACATACCATCAACTCTGTAGGACACCACCTGATTTGGAGACTCGCTCTCTCCATGCTTTGCTTGATTATGGTGATATCTACACTAACCCTTTTGTCCTGAACCCCTGTGACAGATGAGAGGCTAGTGACGTGGTCGTAAAGGCTTTTACAGTCTGTCACACCAACAATCGGAGTCTGCTTGAAATACTTCTCGCTATTCCTAAGGTCTACAGGGCCTGATACCGCTTCAGCTACTTGGAGAGCCATCCGCTCAGCGACGGCAGAAGCTGTCGAGAACGCCTGAGCTTCGCCTCCGAGTGTTGAAGGAACTACTCTCTGGAGTCGGTATGACTTCCAATGAAAGGGACTCCACACGGAAGGGCGATTCTCAAGGAGGTCTGTCTCGGAAAACGCTAGTGTGTAACCTCCTTGCGTGCGCTCTCGCTTGGCATTTGCCCATGCAGCGTCACTGTGCATGCAGATGCAGAGCTTCTGAAGATCCACGCCACGAACCCTAATCTCAACATCCTGAAACTGCCTCGCCCTATGAACCATCTGATTCGCATACAGCAGATCCTTGACTTGCGGATTGGGAAAACACTGCTGGGACATAGAAACCTGCACCGCGATGTCAGGCCGGCTCTGGCTAGCGAGCCAACTGGCAGCACCGTTCAGTGCACGCAGGGAGGCAAGCTCACGAGCAGTGACTGGAGAATCCTTCTGAGCAGCCCTATCCTTGGACAAAGAGATAAGTCGCAAATGCTGGGTGTACTCTCGCTGCTGATAGGAAATCTCGAAGGTGACAGGGTCTTGGTTGTAGACTACACCACAACAGCACCGACACGCCACTTCCGATAAGGGAAGCGTGCTTTGGACTGGCGAATGGCTTCTTCGTAGGCCTCCCCCTCCCCGCCTGTGATACAGTCGTCTACGTGCGCGCCTAGGACGCCTGTGAGTTCATTGGTCTTCGGGCATCTAAAAAAATACACGCAGTTATCAAACTGTGATCGGCTAAAACCTAACCTTCGTGCTTCCTTGTCGAATGCCTCCCACCAGCTGAACGGGGCGTCGTTTAAGCCGTAGACGTTGCCCGTCACTTCTATGACATCGCTTTCTGCCAGACCGGGGATTCCACCCTTGGGCTGCGTGGCGTAAATGGGCTTAAACCTCTCCTTCAAAGGACCTGCCTCTAAAAATGCACCCTTAATGTCCCCTAGGCACATACGCCAGCGCTTTGACACGAGGATTTGCAGCAACAGGGAGCGAGAGAGCTGAGACATTGTTGGCGAATGGCATGCGCCACTAGACACCTTATCCATTACATCTGGGTCCAAGTGCCCCTGAGGGCACCATCTGGCCTTGACACGCTCACCATCCTCATCTACTTTCTTGGTGACCACGAACCTGCTCCCTACAAACCTGTCTGGATAATCACGGCGGATGCGTGCAGCATCAGCTCCACTCCACACTTTCACTGCGGGCTTGGAAGTCATGGTGCACCACTCAGTGGCTTTTGCCTCTTCTACCTGCTCCTGAAGTTCTTCGGGGTTGCCGGTCACAGGGATTTCTTTCTGCATCTGTTTCTGTAGGAAACCTGCTAGGAGAACCTCGACTTCTGTGGCATGTGGCACTTGCTCGCGGTAAGCGCTCATTGCCGTCTGACAAAACAGAGCCTCAGCAAGCGCAGACTCCTGCCTACACATGGCTCTCAGGGCATCTGGCGGGGAACTAGCCATACGCTTGAAGGCAGGCTCTCTAGGACTAGAAAGCCTAGGTGACTCGGAGTCCAAGCCTGCAGACGGCAATGCTGCTTCCGAGCTCAACGGAAGCTCGCGCAGCATGTCAGACAAATCCTCTGCTTGCACCTGCGCGGGCCTAACGAGCAGTGGTTCGGCAGTCTTTTGCCGCGGGTGCGAGCGGGACCAAAGGTAAGGGCAGAAGCTGGAGCTGGCTCGTGCTGTTGGGCAGCTACTGGAGGATAGGGACTGGCGGATGTCATCTGACCGGCAGTTGAGGCAGTAGACTGCTGTTCTAAGACCTGTGCTGCGGTAAGACCTGCGTTCTGGTCTACGCTGGCGTGCACTTGATCAAGCAGTGGTGTGCTGCACTCTTCGGGGGTAGGTGGAAACTCCTGATTAGTAATGTCTGTCAGCTGACTTTGTGGGATTTTCCCTTGATCAAGCAGCCGCTTCATACCCAGGAGCTCCTGAGCCTCTGGGTCGGACTCAAGCGAATCTGGACGTTCCTCATCAGTTGCTGGGCGTAGCTGTTCTGGAGCACACCGCAAGAGTGAACGCCGGTGAGCAACGATTAGGTTGCGACCAACCTTTCCTAGAACTAGGGCAGGCCCATACCACCGACATGCTCGAACAATTTGCCCTTTTACTGACTTCTGCGTGCGCCAGTAGGCCACCCATTGACCATGCAGATTCAAAGTCTTTGCGCAAGCGTGGCCTTGCACGCAACGCCTCTCGAAGCGCTTTGCTGTCTTGACTTGCAATCATCGCCTGCCGAGCTGCCAAACGAACACGACTTTGTCTTTCGAACGCAGGCTCGGCTTGAGTTGCATCGGAGGCAATTGGACTGGGATGTTCCCGAAGCAGATCTGCCGGAATGCGTGGATTGCGACCAAAAACAAACTGACATGGACTAACACTGCCAACGTTAAACATGCTATTCTTGGCGCACAGAGTCTGCGTAACACACTCTTTCCACTCCTCCTCCGACGTGGGACCTACTTCAGACAGAACCTTGAGGAAAAGAACCTGAAACAAACCTCTGTGGCGCTCAACCTTTCCTAATTGCCAATGAGCTTCCGCAGCCGTATGTCGAACCCTAGACCCTTCTTCCTCACAAGGCCGGCACAAACTGTCTGACAAGTTAGGCTGAGACGGGTCAAGCACAACCTCTTCTGGCACACCAGCCCAGGCTAGCCAGTGGGTGCGATACGTGGTTCGGATAAGCTCTCCGGTGTCACGGGAAGGCAATGGGACCATCTGTTGATACGAACTCCCGTAGTCTACGATGTTAATGCAAGGTATCTTTTGGCCAGGGCGCCATCCCTGAAGATACTTAACGTCCATCCCAACCTTCTCGTTAAAACCCTGGGCTCCAGATGGTCGTGCTGGAATGGCATCTGCCGGGCGACGATTCGCCTCGCATGTGGTGCATGAGAACGCCTTGGCTCTCTGCACTGCTTCCTCCGAAGCGCCACTGTTCTTTAGGACTCTGATTAGGGTGTTTAAGGATGGATGGCCGAGATTGTTGTGCAACTTCCTGAGGGCTTGGCCTATTGGGTCTAAGGGAGAGTCTTTAGCGGTAGGGACACGTGGTGGCGCCTGTGCTGGGGCAGGCTCTGCGACAGTGTGGCTACCCAGACACTCGAAGCCCTCAAGGCTCACTCGCTCTTCCGCCTCTAGGGCGAAGGTGCACAGGCAATCTACACTTCTATGATCGTACCCTAAAACACTACCTAAGAAAACCCTCTCAAACTCCGAAGTGTGCCTATCGTTGTCAACCTTATGACCCTTACAACCCTTTAGGCAGGCCTCCGTGAGAGACGCATGGCTGAGGATCAGCCCGCTGGCCCTTTTTGCGGGCCGATCATCTCCTGGGCGTTGTGAATCATGAGTATACATGTCAACACGCTCTCGGCCGAACTTGCGTAACAACGCCGCTACCGGAGGGTAGCGCCACAACTCTGACGACCACGAGTGCTCAAACAACAGTTGGCCTCCACGTTTCAACTGCTTGTGGCACTGCTGAACTGCAAAGTCGGCTTGCTTGCGGGTTTGCTGCACTATCCTAGCTCGCTCGCAAGGGGTCAGGTAAGACGCATTCGACTGGCGCCACCCGCACCAGTGACCACAAGGAATGCACACTACCAACAGTTGCGGCTGAGCACGCTCAAGCAGTTTGTCAACCTCTACCTGAATGTCCCTATCAGCAAGATCCCAACCCTCAGCCTTATCAAAACTCAGCCCTCTAAAACCCCAACTTTCCGCAACCGTCTTAAACCGAGGAGACGAAAACAACTCGGCGACTGCAAAGGCCGGCTGGCCTTCCACGCGTTGCTCAGCAGAGCGTTGCTTCCACTGCGTGAGCAGCTTCCTGACAGTACGCTTTCGGATTTTAGACGGCTTGGGTTCAGCATCTCGGCTTTCTGGGTTTAGGGCCTGGGAACTACAGGTCTTAGGGCTTAAGGTCTTAGCAGGGTCTGTGGCTTGGGGAGTTGCTTCGTTGCCGAGCCTCGCTGGGAAACTGCACCAAGTTAATCAGCATCTGGCCGGCACTGTTCCGATCGAGCTGGATAACATCGGGATCACCCAACATAGTCACCGCACCCGAAGCAAAGTTCACTGTCATCTTGAGCTTCTCCAGCGTGGGACGTCCGAGGAGCAGCGGGGCCTTGCCCCTGATCACAGCCGCATGAATCACTCCGGTCTTGCCCTGGATGGCCACCGGAATCTGGGCCATTATTAGTGATTCTTCGGCCTCGCCGTTGCCAAAGCGGAAGCTGTTCCTTTCTGGGACCTTGATCACCTGTCGATTTCCCAGGAGGGGCTCCATCTCGGCCAAGGTGTCTGCGCCGATGAGCGTCTTTCCGCAACCAGAGTCGATGACACCGAAACCTGGCGATGAGACCAGCGAAGACATCAAAGCCTCCTCAGCGGCCCCGACAAAGTGAATCTCGTCGCGGTGACCCTCAACCACCTCGGCGATCATAGTCTCGGTGGCGCCTCTGTTGCCAGAAGCGGCCTCTGACATGCCATGCTTTGACGATGAGGCTGTCGACGATGGTTTGCTTTTGCACTCTCTGGCCCAGTGGCCTACTCGACCGCACTTCCTGCAGCGAGTGCGTCGCTTGAGCTCTTCTACTTCGATTCGGAAGGCCTTCCGGGAAGCATCCATTGCCCCGAACTGTCGTGACTTCTGCATCTTCTTGATCTCCTGGCGCCTCTCTTTCCAAGACACCGCCAAGGCCTCTGCCGCTTCTGCCTCTGACAATGGGTCCTCATCGATGGTGGTCCCATAGTCGGCCAGGAAAGCCTCGACATCGTCAACAGCGGCATCGTCCTTGAAGTGCTGGTCCTCCTGCTCGACGATCACACCGTGGTCGTCCTCGGCGACCAAGACGGAGGCAGGCTTCCTCGCCTTCGAGCTCGACGCCCGCAGAGTGGGAAAGCACGAACGGATTCCCGCGCTAATCGTCTCCAGGTCCAAGCTCCCTTGCATCTTCGCCTTCACGATCGCCTTCTGTTCTTCTGTCAGGCCGGCACAATGCAAGGCGATCCAGCCTCTAGCTTCCTTGGGGAAGTCCACTGCGGCCTTCCTGCGGCATTTCTCGAAGGTCTCCAAGACCCGTGCCGTCCACTCCTTCATTGACTCTCCATCTCGGGCAGCCAACCCGAAAACCTCGCCTAGCGCTTCACCCATCTGGTCATGGGCCTCCTTCTCGGGGAACCGGGCGGACAGCAGCTTCCAGACTGTCTCGTCGCCGTTCTCCTTGGTGTGGTCGTCTAAGGACAAGTGCTCACACGCTTCCAGGGCCTTCCCATCCAGCAGCGTGAAAAGCCACGGTCCTCGCTGCGATTTCTGGACGTCCTTCAAGGTCGTCATTTTTGCTAACGCCCACGCTTTCCACTTGCGCAGTGCTTTTCCTGGATCATCTCCTTCGCCATCGAACTTCTTGAAGCCGCGATCGTCCATCGCGGAAAGACTTGCACAGAAGCTATCTCTAGCCTAAGGAGAAAACACTAAAGGCGCCCCGCTACCAATTATGGTAGCCTGCAGGACACAACCTAGTGTCCCCACTGCCGCCACTCTTTTGGCACCTGAGCAGCAAAGGGTCCTCGGAAGTCGACCTGCAGAAGCGGGCTTGCACTGTCACCCCTAAACCCCAAGCCCTAAACCCTACACCCTAAACCCTACACCCTACCCTTAAAGGAACTCCTAGGGCTCCTTTAAAGGAAACCCTACTCACCCCAGGCCATGGGTCTGCTGGTGGTCCTGGGCTTGTTCTTGGTCTGCGAGACCCCGCGCTTCTTGGAGACGGCCTGTTCCTTAGTGCGTGCATTTTTGATGTGGGAGTTCCGAAAATCAGGCGTACCTTATTTGGGGTCCTCATAATACGGATCCTACTATTTAGAGGACTATATTTTTGATGGGACTTAGTTCCTTTAAAGGGATCCTTTAAGGGGTCCTTTAAAGGGATCTATATGGTTCTATAAAGGGTTTGGAGACGGCCGGCTCCTCAGTGACTCCTTTTTCAGGCACCCTAAACTTAGTAGCTGAGTGGATACACTTTACATTTTTTGGGATAATATGACCTACTATAAAACCAAAAGTGTACACTTTTTTCGGGGGCTTATGAATTCAGCAACTAAGTAAACCTAAACCCTCAACCCCACCAAAACTTTAGGAGTTTCTGGCTTAGGAGTATGGTTTGGGGCTTGGAGGTCCGGTCCCATAAGGAAGAAAAGCACCAACCATAGAACCCCTCGCAGGAACCCCTCTAAAGGACCCTGTATAGTAACCAAGAAATACGAATAGTATGTTTAATTCCTAATCCCAGAGCCATAAACTCCTGAAGCCCTAAACCTTATAGACTCTAATTACCTAAACCCGCAAGGTTCCTGAAGGTCGGCACGTCCCCGAAGCCCCAAACCCGTATTAAGGAAAATCTTGGACCCCACAAGCCCTAAAGCCCCCCCAAAAGCCAAACTCTAAATCCTTCAAACGGGAGTTTCCGACAACTAGGGGTACCTTATTTTGGGATCCTTATAATAAGGATCCTACCATTGAGGGTGCTATATTAGGGTCCCCAATTTTCGGAAACTTTCAAATTCCACAAAAGCCCAAACCCCCATAAACTCCCAAACTCCTAAACTCCTAAACTCCCAAACTCCCAAACTCCCAAACTCCTAAACTCCTAAGCTCCCAAACCCTTGAGCCCTAATCCTTAAACCCCAATCCCTAATCCCTATCCCTACCCAAACCTCAATCCCTGCTTGGAGGATCATGGGACTTAGCAAGTAAGGTTATAAGTACCCTAATTGGGGTTATAAGTATGGTTACCCTAATTATAACCATAGTTACTAAGTCCCATGATCCTTTAAGTAGACCCTAAACCCTAAATCCTATAGATCCCTTTAAGAACCCCTTATAGATCCCTTTAAGGAGCCCTTTAAGGAACCCCTATAGCTACTAAGTCCCATGATCCTTTAAGTAGACTCTTGATCTCCCACTGCCTCTCCTGGCCGATGGCATTATGTTAGCTCGACCAGTCGGGCAGATATAAAAAAGGAGCTCAAAGCAAAATTCGTGATCTCCAATAAACTCTAAGACTCTTAAACTTACATAAACCTCCCTTATAGAACCCTGTTATACCCTTAACAGGATCCTATTCTAGAACCCTAAACCCCTAAACTCCTAAATCTCCAGTTCCCCAAAAAGAGCGCCAAAGGCCGGCCGATCGGAGGAGGCCCTCGAAGTCCTGACGCGGCTGCGCGCGGGCGACCGCGAGGCCGCCATGCACGAGCTCCTGGGCCCTATCGGGGTTTAGGGTTTTAGGGTTTTGGTGGGTTTACGGGTTTTGGGGGTTTAGGGTTTTTGTGGGTTTTGAGGGTTTGGGGTTTTAGGTTTTAGGGTTTTCGTGGTTTTAGGGTTTAGGGTTTAAGGGTTGGGTTTATACTAGGTAGCGGATGAGGATGAATTTTAATTTCCACTATTGTTTGATATTGAGCCCTAATTATGAACATTTTTCGGGAGTGTCGAAATCGACACCTAGATAACGATGCTATAAGGGTTCCATGAGGGGTCTTTGAGGATACTGTCAGGGTTTTATAGGGTGTTTTAGGAATATAGGGTTTCATGTCGGGAGTGTAGGGTGCGAGGTTTAGTGTGTTAAGGGCCTATGATGAGCTAGGCAAACTATCTTCTGTAAACCCCTTTTATGGTAACTTCCAGGAAGTAAATCAAACCCTAGACCCTAAACCAAACCCCTAAACCCCGAAACCCCTAATCCCTAAACCCCCCAAAACCCTAAACCCCTAAACCCCTAAACCCTGAACCCCTAAACCCTGAACCCCTCAACCCTAAACCCTAAACCGAACAAGAGCCGAGGTTAAAGGAGGTGCAGGTGGAGCTGGAGTCAGAAAGAGAGGCGGGAGAAGCGACATGGTCCGAGGTCTTTACGACTCCCTTCTTCCGGAATCTTTGTCATCGTTGGGTAACATTTTACATTTTATGGGTACTTAAACCCAATAAGGAAGAAAGATTTCGACTTTTAATCCTATCCCAGGCATGTCGTGATCATTGGTTGCATTATACAGTTTTGCCAGATCATGACTGGCATCAATGCCATCGTGAGCTTCAGCGGCACACTTTTCAAAGCTCTTGGCCTCCATGGCATCACCTTTGCGATTATCCCTTTCGTGGCCTTCGCAGCAGGGAATGCTGTCGGGAGCTTTATTCTGGTAGATCGGGTTGGACGACGGCCTCTTCTTCTCTTGGGCATGGTTGCCATGTCTGCCGCAATGCTTGTCGGCGGAGCTGTTGCGTTGCTTGCCCAAGATCCCGAGACGGGGCACATTGACAAGATTTCCGGATACACCATCGTGTCCATGATCGTGATGTACATGTTCTCCTTTGGCATCTCGTGGGGCTATGGAGCTTGGCTTTACATCTCCGAGATCATGCCCCTGCGCGTGCGAGGAAAGGCCGTGGGACTTTGCACAGCCATGAATCTGGGTTCTTGTTAAGGAATGTAGAGTAACTTACCATAATAGGGATCTATGAGGCTGAGGGTTCTTGCAAAGGATCCATAAGGGTTCCTCTTAGGGCTTTAGGTTTAACTTTTACGTTACCATAGTAGGGATCTATAGAGTTAATAATATGGCTTCCTTATTGTGGTAACTTACATGAAGTCTCTCAAGAAGAACCCAGGAATTGGGGACCCGCGAACATTTTAAGCGCCTTCGTGACGCCGCAGATGATCTCCTCCCAACTCGGCCCGGGTGGCACTCTGATCTTCTTCGGCTGCTTACCTAAACCCTCAAACGCTGGACCCGAAAGCCTGTAGTAAGCCCTAAACCCTCATCCCTGAACCCTAAACCCGAAACCCAAACCCCTAAACCCCTAAACCCTGAGCTGCCCCAAAACCCCTCAACCCAAAGGCTGCATCTGCTTTGTGACCCAAACCCTTAAGCCCTAAACCCTCATCCCTGAACCCTAAACCCAAAACCCAAAACCCCTCAGCCCAAAGGCCCCTAAACCTTAATGCCTCAGCACCCTAAACCCCTAAACCCTAAACCCCTAAACCCCTAAACCCCTAAACCCTAAACCCCAAAACCCTAAGACCCTGAAACCCAAAGGCTGCGTCTGCTTTGTGGTGATTCCCTTTGTGGCAACCTGCGTCCCCGAAACGAAGGGCAAAACTCTCGAGGAGACGGGATCCAAATCCTCGGTCAAAGGGGCTACTACGTTAGATGGCTACTAATTACAAGCAGGTCTGCCTGAAAGCCTAAACCCTACACCCTGAACCCTAAACCCTAAGCCCTAAAAACCCCGCATTCGCCTATACCCTGAATCCTAAGCCGTAGCCTCGACCTTACAAAACCAAACGCCTGAAGCCCTGCACCCTTCATGCTTAGCAAACCACCTGTGCGGTCCTAAACGTATGGTTGTTTCACAAAAGTAACATAGTCAAAACCATCGCGATACAGCAGTAGCACTAATAGCAGTATAATATTCATCTTGTGGCAGGAGATCGTCCCCCTCTTCCGCTTCTCGGGCTGGAGGGGCTTTCGCGCCTTCGCCCGCGCGAACCTCCGAAGCGGGCTTGGGGAGATCTGCGAAGGGCCGTCGGAGAGCGACTCCAGCGATGCGTCCTCCGCAAGTGAGGGGCCGGAGGGGTAAGGAAGGGGCCTTAATAATTAGAATAGGGTTTTGGGGGTTCAACTCCCTTCAAAAATCTTTAATCTCCTAAAGCGGAGTACGCACCCTAAAGCAACCAAGCAGCGGATATCCTGAGTATCTTCGAAGCCCAAGACTTCAAGCCCAAAGGGTCCTATGTACTGTTATGGGGAATACTTCCCCAAATCATCGTAGTAATTCCTAATACAGAAACCCTACATTCTACTATATCGGTACTTTGGAGCCTTTGGGAAGGGTAGAACTGGTGGATTGATGTAAGAGCCGAGTTAGACTTCGCGCAGCGGAAAATGGCTGGTGGCTGTAGGTCCATCCTAAGCCCTAAACCCCAAGAGCCTGAATCCCAAATCCTAAGCCCTGACCCACAAACCCTGAGCCCTAAACCCGAAACCTCCAGAAGGCGCGTGGTTTTCTGGTGTCGCACTTGCCTGAGAGCTCCAGGGCGTGTCGGTGTTGTATGTGAGTTTCCGACGATCAGGGGATTCCGTAAAGCTCCACGTGCCTGTATAGTATAAATTCAGGCCTTAAAAGTACATGTATAGAAACCCTTTACGGCCGAAATATGTACTATATAAGTACCCAAGGTTAGGAGCTGAAGCCTTTGAAGCTTAGGTCCTTCGGTTACAGGAGCCACTGTGAGTCCCCTCAAGGGTCGCGTGCTGCCTTGAAGAGAAGAACATGAGAATCCTACGCACTCTTAGATGCTGATCGTGATCATGACGATGTTGTTGCCACCAGAATCACCACCCTTATAATCATCAGCATCGTCATCCTCTTCGTCGACTTATCATCATCTTTCATCATCACCTTGACGACGCCGACGCCAAAGCCCACTGCGCCGGATCCTTAGTTCCTTCGAGGCCACGTCACTTCCCGGAGGTCTTTTGGATCAAGTTGTTTCTGGCCACAGGCTGCGGACGCCTCGCAAGTGGGACATGTGTGAGGCAAATGACACGATTCGTGGCGTGACCTCTGCAGATGCAAAGGAAGTCCAAGTTGCCTGTGCGGAGAAGTCGTCACCCGCAGCCGACTGGAGGAAAAAGGCTTATGCCGCAACCATCTGTGCTTTCGTAGCTTCTACCGGCTTCTTCCATGGCTATGACAACGGGGTCGTGAATGACGTTTTTACTATGCCGAGCTTCCGTTCCATGATGGGCTGGCCAGCAGAGGCCTCCTAGCCAGTCAGAAAAACATAAGGGGAGCTCCGGAAAGTTGGAATATGGTTTCAGGGTAGGATACCCTATAATTTACCTTAAAGGGGTTACGATAATGATATTCCAACTTTCTGGCTTCTACTGTAGGTTTTTTTGGGTTTCGCGTTTAGGGTTCGTATACGCATGCCATCGGACGTATGTATCATGGATGCACGCCCCTCCGCCGTGGGTGGTGCCCGTTCTGTTTGCGATTGGTTGGACTACTTAAAGGATCATGGGACTTAGTAGCTAGGGTTTTAATTAGGGCAACTATACTTATAACCCCAATTAGGGTACTTATAACCCTACTTACTAAGTCCCACGATCCTCCAAGTAGGCCGTCTCTCTTGGCTAACGGCCCCTCTGTTGTGTTTGCTCGTTCGTTTGCTTATGCATCCAGCTGTCTATCTGTCAACATTTCTACTATCTGTCTGTTCTCCACCCAGGCCTTCACTCATTCATCCATGCATGCATCCATCTATTCATGGAGTTTTGCATCTATGTATCTAGGTACTTGCCTCCTGTTTATCTGCCACAGGCAATCTGTCTATCTTGCGCTCTCTTTCTATGTGTCGATCTCTCTCTCTCTCTGACATGGTGATGCGCGAGGCACGAAACTACATACAAAGTTGCGTTCGATTTGTCGACATGTCTAGGGCTACCCTGTGTGAGGACAATGCCACGGTTGCATTCTGGGAGGGTTTGACCGTCAACGGCTTCAACATCGCAGCAGCTATTGCTGCTGTCCTAGCTGGACACCTTCTGGTGGACAAGCATGGGCGGCGCCCCGCGCTATTCATTGGCTCTCTTTTGTTTGCTGCTGGTGGCGGCTTGCAAACATCAGCACAAAATGCGATCATGCTCATTGTGGGAAGGGTCGTGGCTGGGGTTGGTGTCGGCATCACATCGTCGGCTGGACCAGCCTTCATTTCGGAAGTTGCCCCGGAGAAGATCCGCGGTATGCTTGTAGGCATCTATCAAAACAACGTCTGCTTAGCCATCGTGGCTGCTGCAGTGCTGAACTACGCCGTGCACGACGAAACGTTCGGTTGGCGCTTGTCCCTGGGCCTTCAGGTCGATTCTTGGCTGCCTTCCGAATAGCGGGGTTTAGGAAGTTTAGGGTTTAGGAAGTTTAGGGTTCAGGAAGTTTAGGGTTTAGGAAGTTTAGGGTTTAGGAACTTTAGGGTTCAGGAAGTTTAGGGTTTAGGAACTTTAGGGTTTATAGGCTTATAGGGTTTAGGGAATGTGACCCGCAGCACAAGACTTACGACACATGGGCTCTCCATGCCTCTGCCATGGGTCTGCTAGTCCCTGAAGCCCCAAACCGTAAGGCCTTCAATACAGGGGCTTAAAGAATTACCAGTACTGTTTTGGTTCCCGAATTAAAAATCACAGTAGAATGGGCCCCAATTCTAACTATGAAGGCACTTATATCATAGTACCCTTATAGTAGCCCTTTTAGTAACCCTTTAAAGGAACCCTATTCCAATGTTTCAGGCCCCTAAATGAATCGTCACATCCTAAACCCTCAGACCAGCAATCTCCTGGAAGGCTGATCGTACCCGTGTTTAGGGTTTAGGCTTTAGGGTTGGTATCGATTTGGGATATTTGTTAAGTTTCCCTTCTTGTTCAAAGTGTGGCCATACTTACAAAGACTTCTGGGGACGGTTGAAATCGACACTCTCGACCCTAAACCCATAAAGCCCCAAACCCGAAACCAATTCTACTCAAGGCCCCTGGACCCCTAAACCCCGAACCCCAAGCCCCTAAACCCTAAACCTTTAGGAAGCTTCATAGTAGCGGGGGTGGCGGGGGTTAGGAGGGGGGTAGGGAGTAGGGTAGAGGTGGGTCTTGACCTTTCACGCAGGTGGAACAAACTATTTTGCTCTTGCCCCCCTCCAACTCGAAATTCTAAGCCCCTAAACCCTAAACCTCTAGGAACCTTCATAGAAACCCTAGACCCAGTCTACTCACTTCAGGCCATGGGTCTGTTGGTGGTCCTGGGCTTATTCTTCGTCTGCGAGACCCCGCGATTCTTGGAGACCGTCGGCCCCTTAGAGCGTGCAGTTTTGATGGGACTGAGGGGTTCCTTTAAAGGGATCCTTTAAGGGCTCCTTTAAAGGGATCTATATGGTTCTATAAAGGGTCTACAGGGTTCAGGGTTTCCGAAAGTTAGGGGTACCTTATTTGGGGTCCTTATAGTAAGGATCCTACTATTTAGGGGACTATATTAGGATCCCCTATTTTCGGAAACTCCCGTGTACCTTGAAGAGGAGGACTGGTTTAGGGTTTGGGGTTTAGGAGAGGAAGAAACCCTTGTCGTAGGTCCTAGCCCTCAACGGCCCTAAACCCTGAACCGAGCATCCTTACCATCCTTGATTAGCTTAAGCCCTAAAAGCACTAAGCCCTAAACTCCACAATTCTAAACCCTCACCCTTAAACCCTCAGTCCTTAAACACACAGCCTTTAAACCCCGTCCCTACCTAAACCTCAATCCCGAAACTCTGAAACCCTAAACCCTGCCCCTAAACTCCCAAACCCAAAGCCTCAAGCCCTGAAGTCCTAAACCCCTAAGCCATAAACCCCTTATAGAACCTTGTTGTACCCTCAAGAGGATCCTATTTTGGAACCCTAAACCCTTGTAGAACCCTGTTGTACCCTTGAGAGGATCTTTTTGTAGAACCCTAAACCCCTAAAGTCTTAAACCCACGCAGTAACCAAATGCCCCTAACCTCATTCCCTGAGAGGCCCCAACCACAGGGTCCTCCTAGTACAGGAGTTCTAGCTGTACTTGCCGGTGGAAAAGAGCCCTAAAAAAACAAATTAAACTCTTAAACCTCCCTGATCGAACCCTGTTATACCCTTAAGAGGATCTTATTTTAGAACCCTGAACCCCTAAACTCCTATTTCTCCAGTTCCCCAAAAGAGCACCAAGGCCGGCCCTATTCTAGAACCCGAAAACCCTAAACTCCTAAACCCGAGGTCGCCCCGAAACACTTACCTTTGGTTAGTAGGGAATGGAGGAGTGGGATATATATATATATATATATATATAACTACTGTTACTACCATTCTTCCATTCCCTACTAACCAAAGGTAAGATATAGGATTACTACGGCCCCTATATTATGGTACCCCTATAGTAGCCCTTGTAGATCCCTTGAACAGTCTCCCAGGCCGGCCGGTCGAACGAGGCTTTGGATGTGCTTACGCGGCTGCGCGCGGGCGACCGCGATGCTGCCATGCATGAGCTCCTACGCTCTGTCGGGGTTGGGGTTTTAGGGCTTCAGGATTTTAGGGTTTAGGCTTTTAGTGTTTAAGGGTTTAGAGTTTATTTGGGGTTTTCGGGGAGGTACCAAGTACCTATTATCACTGTGTTGTTAAGGAGCTTCTTTCAAGGTTTTGGCGTTCGGGTTTTGGAGATTCAGGGTGTCGGGTTTGGTACTGCACAGCGCACTATTGGTAACTCCCAGTACGCCTGGGTTTGGAGTACCATACTTGACTACTTTTTTTTCTTGGCACCTGTTCCTTAAAGGAACCATTACGTTATGAAAGATAAAGTAAGTTCCTGAACGAGAGCGAAGGTTGAAGGAGGTGCAGCTTGAGCTGGAGTCTGAAAGAGCAGCAGGGGAGGCAACCTGGTCCGAGGTCTTTACTACTCCCTTCTACCGGAATCTTTGTCATAGCTGGGTAACATTATACATTTTTATGGGTTCTTAAACCCAATAAGGAAGAAAGGTTCAGATTTTTAATCCTATCCCAACCATGAACTAGGAATGTGGTGGTCATCGGTTGTGCCATTCAGTTCTTTCAAATTATGACTGGCATCAACGCCATCGTGAGTTTCAGCGGAACACTTTTCAAAGCTCTTGGACTCCATGGCATCGCGTTTTCGATTATCCCTTTCGTGGCCTTCACTGCAGGAAACTGGGCTTTGGAGTACCATACTTTAAAATTTTGTCTTTTTAAAGCAAGCATTATAATGAAATAAGAGTTTATGTTTCTTTCTCCCTGGTTACTTAAAAGCCCAGGAAACGCGATCGGGAGCTTTCTTCTAGTCGACCGCGCCGGCCGTAGACCCCTCCTACTCTGGGGTATGGTCTCCATGTGCGTGACTGGGCTCTTGTTATCATAGGGATCCTTAGGGGTGTAGGGGGGAGGGGTGTCGGGGACTATATTTCCTTAAATAGGCCTTATTCGTCCTTATTATGGGCCTTAAGGCCCCCTACCCCCCCTCCCCCTACACCCCTAAGGATCCCTATGATGTTAAGGGATATCACTCAATTTCTCCATAATGAGGATCTACAGGGGTTCCTTTAAGGGATCTTTAGGGATGTCAGTTACTATAATAAGGAAACCACCCTAAACCAAAAACCCTACCATATTGTGTACTATAGATCCCTGTTGCCTCAACAAGAACCCAGGTGACGATGCTCGTGGGCGGTGTAGTCGCGGTGGTAGCCCAAGATGAGACTGGCCACATTGGAGAAGCTGCGGGCTACACCATCGTGTCTGGGTCCTGCTAAGGCATTTCATGTAAGTTACCATCGTAAGGAAGCCTTATTATTTACCATAGATCCCTATTATGGTAACCGAAATTAAATTCCTTAATAAGGAAACCCTCTAATTTACTATAGATCCCTATTATGGTAACCTAACTTGAACTCCTTCGCAAGGAAGCCCTATTATGTACTATAGATCCCTATTATGGTTACCTAAATTGAATTCCTTAACAAGGAAACCCTATTATTTACTATGAATCCCTATTATGGTAACCTAAATTAGATTCCTTAACAAGGAAGCCTTATTATTTACTATAGATCCCTTTTATGGTAACCTAACTTAAATTCCTTAACAAGGAAGCCCTATTATTTTCTATGCATCCCTATTATGGTGACCTAACTTAAATTCCTTGACAAGGAAATCATATTACTTACTATGGATCCCTATTATGGTAGCCTAAATTCGATTCCTTAACAAGAGCCCAGGTGTCCATGATCGTGACCTACATGTTCTCCTTTGGCATCTCGTGGGGCTTCGGGGCCTGGCTCTACATCTCCGAGATCATGCCCCTGCGCGTGCGCGGAAACTGGGCTCTTGTTACAGGAGTTTTAAAGAATTTATCACAGCAGGGATCTATGTAGTAAATCATACGGATTCCGTATTATTGCAACCGAAACCAAATCCCTGACCATAATAGGGATCTACAGTAACTACCATGGTTTATGGTAACTTACATTAAATCCCTTAGTAAGAACCCAGGAAAGGCCGTGGGGCTCTGCACAGCCATGAACTGGGGCCCAGCGAATGTTTTAAGTGCCTTCGTGACGCCGCAGATGATCTCCTCCTCACTCGGCCCGGGCGGGACGCTGATCTTCTTCGGCTGCTTACCTAAACCCTGAAACCCTGGACCAAAAAAAAGCTTAAGCTGTGAACCTCAAACTCTGCCTAGTCCCCTAACCTTAAACCTTAAACCTTCATCCCTGAACCCTAAACCCCAAAGCCCTAAACCCCAAGCACCTGCAAACCCTGAGCTGCCCTGAACGCTGAACCCAAAGGCTGCGTCTGCTTGGTGGTGATTCCTTTCGTAGCGGCCTGCGTCCCAGAAACCAAAGGCAAAACCCTCGAGGACAGCGGAATGGGAACTGGGATGTTGAACGTTTAGGGTTTCGTGTTTCGGGTCTAGGGATTATAGGGTCTGGTGTCCTTTTGGGGGGCCACGAAGTAAGATATCCAGATCCTGATGCGCAAGGGACCCCCCATCCTGAACTTCTGTGACGTCGAAATGAACCTTATTTTCAATGCCAGCACTGTTACGTAACATTGCATTACTTATCCCTGTGTTCTGTTTTGATATTAGTATGCGTAAGCTGCTATGCATGATTATGTGTTATTCTGCATTACCCGGTATTAGTATCCATCTTTATGCATTACTCGCACGATGGCGTCCAGTCGATCAGGTAGCATGGCTCTGGCGTGTTTTTGGTTTTACACTAGCACAAGCAATATCATTGATGCCAGCATGGCCGGAACTGGTCAACCCTAACCCCTGAACAATCCCAAACAAAGCCTTTGAAGCTTTGGGAGGCGTAGGGTCTAGG